CCCGCACACCTCTCAGGTTCCCCCACCGAAGGAGCAATGCACCTCCCTGTACCGGAGGACGCGGTGGCCCAGGCCTTCTCGGGCACGCGTCTTATGCATTACTGCGCTGATGTGCCGGCACAGCACCTCTTGCACGGAGCGGCGCGCCACATGCTTGAGCACCTTCCTGTTGACCCTCGTCAGGTCCGGCCCGATGCGCTCCTCTTCTGTGTCGACGGTTCCTACGGTGCCTCGCAAGCCAGCTGGGCTGTTGCGTGCTTTGCGTGCCATGAGCAGGAATGGTCCTGGTGGGGATACCTAGCGGGGACGGTTGCAGAAATCTATGAAGCGGACAGTGCCTTCACGGGTGAGCTGTATGCGCAATTCGTTGCTATGTGCACAGCCGCAGGCGAGGCACTGCCATCGGCCGTCCGTTTTGATTGCGAAGGGGCGGCACATATCTCTCGATGCACCACCGCGAAGTGCGCCGATGATATGCTAAGACGCGCCACTGCTTCCACCTCTGCATACCTCGCCGCCCTTGGCCTCATGCCAGCATTTGCACATACCAAAGCACATGAGGGCGACCCTGGGAATGAATTGGCAGACCACTTGGCCAAACAGGCTGGTAGAAGCCCCGCAACCATTGCCGGAATCCAGGACGAAGATTTCGATTCATACGTGAGCGAAGGCGCTTTCGATTGGCTTTGGTTCTATCCAGCGACACGCCTTGGGGGAGAGCTACCTCAGCTGCAAGAGGCTACAACAGTTCCAGGCACAGCGAATGCTACTCAGCATGCGCCGGCGCAGGCGGGCCAATGGGCACCTGTCTGCCAGCAGGAAGAGGGCCGAACCATCGGGTTGCAGTGCCGTCTCGCCACTTACAATACTCTGTCTGCGGCCACCAACTTACAAAGGCAGTGCCTGGCATCTTTCATGGAGCGTGAGCAGTTAGCTGTTTTAGGTCTCCAGGAATGCCGATTTTATGTTGCAGCTACCCAGCAGGTTGGACAGGTCTTGAGGTTTGCCAGCCCAGCTGTTGAGGGCCAACTTGGCTGCCAGCTGTGGTTCAATGTGGCGCCCAAGTTTGGCTGGACGCCCCAGAGTTTCCAGCTGGCCTTCCAACACCCGCGCCTGATAGTGGTGTATGCTAAGTGGGACGGGTGCCCTTTGGCCTTCTTTTCCGGGCACTGCCCTACTGCCGCTGCACCACTGGCCGAGCGTATGGCATGGTGGGACCTGCTGCGCGCCAGGTTGCATGCACTTCCGGCACACACCGCGCCTGTGCTCTTGCTTGATGCCAATGCACGCTACAGCAGGCAAGGTGATAGCGAGTGTCCGGCCGGGGATAATGCCAAGCAGCTGGAAGCGCTGAGGGACACCTTCGGCCTGAGCCGCACCCATGCTTTTGATCCAAATGGCTGCGTGCGCGCATCGTGGCGTCCACCTGTCGGATCCTCTGCTCAGGCTGCTTGCTTGGATTTTGTCTTGTGGCCAACTGTCTGGACCGAGGGCATTGCGGACCTGGGATTACTTCAACTTCTCGACGAACATGCTGAGATTGATCACCAGCCGGTGGCGGTCCAAGCGAGGTTGACTTTATCCCTCAACAAGCGGCGATACCCGACCATAGATCGGGATGCCATGTGCACTCCGCAGGGCCAGCACAAGCTCTACCAGCTTTTTGCCAGCCTGCCAAGCCAGCCGTGGCAACTGTCGGTCGACGACCACTTGCATGCTATCAATCAGCACCTGCAGGAGGGTATCGCCCAGCTCTTCCCAGTTGCTGCCCGCGGTCCGCGGCATCCAGCAATCAGCGAACGCACCTGGAGCATCCTCCAAGCCAAACGTCAGCAAAGACGATGTTTTCGCCGGCAGAAAGCACTTCACTCGAAATGGGTCTTAGCACAGTGCTTCCGCGCTTGGAAACGGGAGCCTGGCAGGGGTGTGCGCACAGGGCGTATTCAGGTTTTTGATAGGGTCGCTGCAGAGCATATGCGAACCATGCGGGAGCTCACGGTGGCGTCACGGTCGGCGCTCCGAGAAGATGAAGCGGCCTTCGCCAGGCAAGCGTTTCAGGAGTCGCGGCAGTGTGGGCCGGCTGCACTCGCTAGGCAGGTCCGTGCTATACTGCGGCGGGGCCGAAATACCCGAGTTGCTGCACTTGCTGTCGAGTTGGTGACAGACACAGGTGTGCTCAGGGATCCTGCCGATGTCAAGGAAGCTTTTGCGGTCCATTTTGGCAATGCTGAGTGTGCTGTGCCTACCAAGCTCGGCACCCTCTTCCAGCAGCCAGTCACCCCGAAACCCGAAGCTGTCTACCTTGAGCAGATCCCTTCCGTAGCGCGTCTTGCTGCAGCTTTTGCATCGCTCAAGAAAAGGAAAGCCTCAGGTCTTACATGCCTGCCAGCCGAGGTCTACAGCCAATGCCCGCTACCAGCTGCGCTGACACATATGACCCTTCTTTTGAAGATCTGCAGCCGACGCCAATTCCCGGTGCTCTGGTCAGGGCTACTTGCTTGTGCATTGCCCAAACCAAACAAGCCCACCAATCGCCTGGAGGGATACCGTTCTGTGGCCTTAGTCGAGCCGGCGGCTAAGGGGATTTTCAAGGCTGCGAGGCCAACCTTGAGTGCTGGCTTCGAAACTGTTGCACTTGCTACCATAGGCGGAGCCCGTCAAGGTCACCCGACCGACCTGGCCGCGCTTAGCACCCAGATGCATCTCTCCTGCCTCCGGCGCAACCGACGGTCTGGAGCGGTACTTTACCTGGACGGTACCTCTGCCTTCTATGCTGTCCATCGGAGCCACCTGTTTCGTGATGACCTCACAGGCCTGCGTGAGCATATCCACGCGTTACCACTGGAGGTGTCCGTCAAACAGCGGGTGCTTGAAGCAGTTTCTGACCAGGGCGCTCTCGATCGAGCGGGCATTCCCAGGGGCACTCAGCTCCTCCTCCAGGCTGCGTTTGCTAACACCTGGTTTGTTGTGGATCCTGCTCAGGAGGTGGTGCAGGCTACATCTCGGGGCACGACCCCAGGCTCGCCGTTGGCAGACTTGCTCTATCAATTCGTTTCTGAATTGTCTATGCGATGCCTTGCTGAGCATCTGCTTGCTGAGGGCCTGGCTGCCACCGTGCAACATGCCACAGCGCTACCTCAATCCTGGCTGGATGATGTGTCGTTGCTTGTCGGTGCCCCTGACGCCACTTCTGTGGCTGCTTGCACTGCTCGTGCGGCAAGCCTGGCACACCAATACATGGCGGTGACTGGCGTGTCGGTGAACTATGCAGCTGGCAAAACCGAAGCAGTGGTATCTTTGGCCGGCAAGGGTTCGGAGGAGGCGCGTCGGGCCATCTTCGCCGAAGGCGGTGGCGTCTTGAGCATCGGCCTTCCTGAGGGGAAGGTCCAGCCCCTCCGCTGCGTTGCGGAATACACCCACCTCGGTACTGTCCGCACCCACACCGCTGCCTGCGAACTTGCTGTCCAAAAACGAGATCAACATGCTCGTGAAGTCTTTGCACCCTTCAAGAGGCGCATCCTTGCCAATCCGGCACTTACCTGTGCCGAGCGCCAGGAGATGTTCAAGGCTATGATCTTGGCACGGTTTTTGCATGGGATAGGCACCTTAGAGCTTGGTAACAAAGGCGCCTTCAATGCCTTTAACACCAAGTATATGGGTCTAATCCGTGGCGCAGTCAGACCGCTTCACAGTGTGCCCTGCCGCAGGCTCACGGACGCACAGGTCTGTTCCCTCCTGAGTGTGGTCATGCCTCGGGAGGCGTATGACATAGCCCTGGTCCGTACATGGGCTAGTGTGGCCGATCGGGGCGATGCCTTTTTGCACGAGTGTCTGCTCGACTCGCAGTGGGAGGCAGAAGCTTACAGTGCCGGCAAAAGAATCGCAGAGGCAGTCCAACATGAAGGCCTCACCCGCTTTCTCTGCGCACCCCAGCTTGAGGGAAGTGGTCTGCAGCGTTACCCCTTGAGCATTCGCCAGACTCGGGGGCTCCTCAGGAAATACCGCAAACAGTGCGTTGAGAACCGGGCTCCACTCGTTCTCCCCGCACTACGCAAAGCCCGTGCGCACGAGCAGGCCGATCGTGACGGACTCCTTTTTGTTAAAGTAGACTGTGATCGGTTGTGTTGGCGTTCCTGCCACGTCTGCTCTCAGTGCTCTTTGACATTTGGTTCTGCGGCTGCCCTCGGGTCCCACTTAGCCAAAGTCCACCATATTGCGGCAGCTTCCGCGTATGGATTCGGCACCGTTTGCGAAGCCTGCCGTAAGCAATTTTGGTCAACAGACCGCCTGAGACAGCACCTGAGGAGGGCGAGCCGCTGTGCTCGTATATACTTTGAGGCCGACTGGGAGCCAGGGCAGGTTGCCGAATGCCTTTCGACTAGGCAATGCCCCCCCGTTGAGCTCATCGGGCCGTCCCCATGGTGGGCGGTCCAAAATTTTGTTGAGAGTGATACCCCAGTTGCGAATCCTGCTCATCCCGATCCACTGGTCTCGGCGTCCGCACTGACGTCCCTGCACCAAGTGCCCGACTTTCTTAGACGATGGATGCAGGCAGTCGAATCTGGCTGGGAACCTCCTCTTGTTATGCCTCATCTTGGAGATGAGAAGGTGTCAGCGTTTGCGGTCTGTATAGCAGAGACGCTTGGCACTTCGGACAACGCACGATTTCTGCATGTTGGCGATTTCGGTGCTGTTGTCCACTGGGACACAGTCCTTCTCGGTCCAGAGAGCAAAGTGCGCGAAGCGCACCGAAGCTACTGGTCCGATATGTGAGAGCATGTTTTGAATTTAGGAGTGCGTCTAACGACTCGAGCCACGGCGTGAAAAATCCTTAAATCCCCAAGCCCCAAACCTAGCGGGCAGAATAAGGTGCTTAAAAAATCCCAAGCCTAAACCCCCAAACCCAAAACCTTAAACCCCAAACCCGAAACCCAAAACCCTATAAGCCCTAAACTGACAAAGCAACCGCAGCAGCGAAGTTCCAGAGCGTTGATCCCCAGGTGGATCGCAGAGGCCGAGTCTGGCCGCGCTGCCTTCTTTTGCAACTCCATGTCAAGCCAGCCAGGGCCCTGAAAGAGCTTCGAGGCTATGGTTAAGTGTGTAGGGTTTAGGATGTATACAGGGTTAAGCCATCGCTTGGAGGCACTTTAGAGAGACCTCGTTCAAAAAGGGTTTAGGGTTTCTGCCTCTCGCTCTGTCTCTGTGTGTGTGTGTGTATGTGTTTTTTGCATTTTGAAGGGGTTGGTAGTGCCTGACAAGTAAGGGGTTCTACTATTGGGTTTGATATAAGGGCTTGATAGGGCTTAATATAGGGACCTTGACTGAGGGTTTGTAGATGATAGCGAGGGGGACTATATATACGAATGATTCACAGGGATCTGGCAAGGATTGTCGTAGGGCGCGTTGCATCATCTTTGTCTCAGTCGTGCATGTCCCAAGAGTACCTCTGTGTTAGGCTGGGTCATCTACTTGGTGTGCAGGTGGGTGTGTGTGTGTGTGTCTGTGTGTGTCTGTGTGTGTCTGTGTGTGCGCATGCGCGTGCGTGTGTGTGTGTGTGTGTGTGTGCATGTGTGTGACTGTCTGGCTGAAGATTCGGGCTTAGTACGGCCCGGTGATTCTCACATCTCCCAAGCAGACCGGGGTGAGTCTTGTGGGAACATGGCTCCCATCGCAAGCGAAACAGAAAACCCTAAACCTTGCAGCTTAGCCATCTGCTGGAATGCTGCCTCCGTCATGAGTGACGCGGCCTTCCACTTGCCATGTCTTCGCTGCAGCATTTGCAGTTGCAGTTAGCTCCGTGGCTCAAGGTTGGGGTGTGCATAAGGCCACGGCCACTCCTGAGCAAGGCAAGGTGCATCAGTTAGTGGATCGAAGACCATGCTTTGCGCGCTCATTCCGGGGCTTCTGGCAGAAAAGGTTTTTGGGAGAGGAATCTGCTTGCGGGCGAGGGCCCTGCTTCAATCTCAGCTGCCCTGGCTCTGTGTGCATCGTATGCACCTTTTCAAGGGGCTAACTTTCAGAACAATATCGACGGATCCTCGGGTTCCGCGCAACACCTTGGACCGGACCCTAGTTTTGCTCCTCCGGCCAGTGGCCCAGGCTCCAACCCTAAGCTCTAAAGGCCTCAACCCTTACCCCAATACCCCTAAACCCCAAACCCTAAAACCCTAAATCCCAAAATCCCGAAACCGTAAACCCAAAGCCCAAGACCCCTAAACCATGGTCTAGATTGTTCAGAGCCCCCTTCAGAACCCCGGCATCTCTGAGCCGCCACGAGAAAGCCAGGCTTTCCCTGCCCAGAGCCATGGCCGGCCTAGGCGCCAACATCCATTCAATATGTCTTGGAAGAAGAAGCATAGAGAGAGAGAGAGAGAGAGAGAGAGAGAGAGAGAGAGAGAGAGAGAGAGAGAGAGAGAGAGAGAGAGAGAGAGAGAGGGAGGGAGGGAGGGAGGGAGGGAGGGAGGGAGGGAGAGAGGGAGAGAGGGAAAGGAGGGAGGTAGGGCGAGAGCGAGAGAGAGACACAGAGAGAGAAAGAGACATAGAAAGAGAAGAGAGAGAGAGAGAGAGAGAGAGAGAGAGAGAGAGAGAGAGAGAGAGAGAGAGAGAGAGAGAGAGAGGGAGAGAGAGCAGTCGGGCGGGCGTCTCCCACGGGTTGCGTGCCCTCATGCCTGGTGAAAGAGAGAGAGCGAACATAACAAGTACTCCTCTCGCTCTCTCTCTCTGGCTCTGTGTCTCTCTCTCTCTCTCTCTCCCTCTCCCCCCCTCTCCAATTCCCTCCCTCGCTCTCCGTCTCCGTCGGCATTGAGCTGCGACTCTGGGGTCTCAGGACTTAAGGTTCCAATTCTCTTGAGCAGATCGATTCGCAGGTGTCGTCGTGGCAAGACCAACTGTTTCGCTGCTGGGCTGCAAGTGGACCTCGCCGTTTGCAGCAATGTCCACGAGGGCGCATCACCTGCGAAAGAGACATCTGGATGCTTAAGCCTGCAGCAGCTGCTGGGCTCGCGTTCAGCATAGCACGCCAAGGTTTGCAGCCTAGCCGCTGATGATAAGCGTGCTTAGCTGCACCACGGAATTCAGCTACCACTCGGTATGTCAGCACCTGGTCTGAGTAAGACAACCGTCACATAATCCATGTTCCATGTTGTCCATGTTGGGCCTTGATTGCGTGCTCAGAGTAGATTCGAGACACAACGGCACGAGGAAACGGTGAGCCAGCAGTAGAGCAGAAAGCACCTGGGAAGGCTGGGGAAATAAATCTGGGCATCCCGAACCGAAGACACGGCAGGCTCTGGCGGCCCGAAGCCTTGAACCTAAACCATTACCCGAAACCCAGGCCCCTCAATCCACAAAACCCTAAACCAAAAACATCCCTGAACCCTAAACCCTAAACCCTGCCTTCACAACCCGAAGCCCCGAGCATCACGGGCCTTCCTTGCTGCTGGCATGCCGCCTGCGAGCCAGCAGAGCCAACGGATGCTTGCCTCAGAATGTCAGAATGGGGGGGTCTTCAGAAGGGGGGGTGCCTAATAATTCAGGCATCGGTAGAATAATGATCTACGTTGTGTCTTGGGTCTAGCGTTTGCATTGAAGCCTGCCAGCAGTTGCCCGCTTCAGTTGCCGGATGGTTCCTGGATCCGAGTGGTCAAACCCGCGACCCGGTCAAGGAACCCTTCCCTGTCACACGTGATGCCCCAGATTCTGACCCCAATACCGAAGATCTTAAAGAAGCCCCTGCACAGGCAGCACGTGAAACTACCGCGCACTAAGCCCTGAGCCTTGCAAGCGATTAGTACCAAACCGCGAAGCCTACAACCCAGAACCCCTGAGGAGTGTTCGCTGACACACAATCCAAGCCCATGCTGAAAAGGGTTTTTCCCTTCCGACAGGCAAAAACGCCCTAAAGCTCTAACCCTAAATCCTGAATGTAAAGTTCTAAACCCACAGCCCTGAACCCTACAACCCTAAGCTTCATTTCCTGAATTCTGACCCTGCATCACTTGTAATCAGTTCTACCTCGGTCGTCCGAGCACGCTAAAGCCGAAGCCCCGAAGCTTGCGAAAATCCTAAACCCTAAACCCTAAGCCCTAAACCCTAAACCCTAAGCCTTAAGCCCTAAACTTAAGGCATAGGCCGCCCACCTACTGTGGGTGGGCGGCGCTTAAGCCCCTCGACCTCGATGGCGCAGAGCGACCCAAGACGCCTGCCCGCCTCTCCACAGCCATGGGGACGGTAGCACCCACGTCAGGCCCGGTACCGGAGCAGGTTCTCCTCGGGACCAAACCCTTGGCCCAAACCCCTCCGAGCCCCCCTTGGCCCCAGGCCCTCCACCCCTGCCCTACCTGCTGCCCGCCTTCTGCCCTACCTTGCCTTGCCCTGAACTGACCAGCTGGTTTTTGCCTATTCAAAAATCTGATCCTGAAATGTGCACTTTCATTAGGCCCGGTGCCAAAGTCGAGGTCCCCTCCTTTCTTTGTGTGGGCCTAGTCAAAAGAAATAAAGAAAACCCCCGAATGAGTTTAGGTGCTAAACCCTAAAAGGAATAGGTTTGGGTGGTTTGGCCGCCTCAGACGGCGTGGGGTGGGAGAGTTAAAAGAAAGAGCCATCCACCATCAGGCTCCAACAGCCAATCGTCATATTACAACGCACTCGAAAATACACTGTCGCACGCTATTTCCGCTTCTGCGCCATTCTACAGCAAACCCTAAATCCTAAACCCTAAACCCTAAGCCCTAAACACTAAACCCTAAACCCCAAGCCCCAAGCCCTAAACCCTAAACCCTAAGCCCTGAAGCCTAAACCCTAAACCCTAAGCCCTAAACCCTAAGCCGATTCTAGTTTCACGCCGACCCGCACCTAGGGATCCTCGCCTGGCTTGTCCGAGTTGTGAGAGCATAAACTCTAGACTTTGCCCAGTGTGAGCGTCAAAACAACTTAAACTTCAACCCCGTACCCCCCTAAAACCCTAAACCCCAAAACCCCTGCAACCCCTAAACCCCCTAAACCCCTACAACCCCTAAACCCTAAACCCCAAAACCCCAAAACCCCTAGAACCCCTAGAACCCCTAAACCCCTAAACCCCCTAAACCCCCCAAAGCCCCCTGGGTCCCCTAAACCCCTGAACCCCCTAAAACTCCTAAACCTCCTAAACCACCTAAAACCCCCAAAACCCCTAAAACCCCTAAACCCCTACGCCCTAAGCCTCAAGCGCACGCTCTGGAGTCGAAGACTCTGCTCAGAGGCTCATGGGACCTTCGTAGCTAATATAGGGGCCTTAGTGATTACCTATACTATTTAAAGGGTTCTTTAAAGGGGTCTACAAGGGATCTATAGTGGGGTTCCATAATTTAGGGGCCTTAATAATTACCTATACTATTCTAGGGGTTCCTTATTATAATTATAGTATAATGAGGCTTGAGAACCTTATTCTCCCCTGCATTAGGGTTTAAAGTTTTTGGGTTCGGGGTTTAGGGATGATCACCCAAGGCATCCGTAGATACATGTTCGTATGACCCCAATGAGGGTACTTATAAACTGTGCCTGATCCGCCAAGTAGGCCCTAATGTAGGAACCTGATCAAGAAACCTTGGGCTTTTATTAGGGTTCCTTATATGAACGCTACTATTTTGGGGTTGTAGGCCCAGGGTTTCTGAATCAGGTTCCTACAGTATTAAAGTACCCTTATTATAGATCCCTTGTAGTAACCATTATAAACCCCTTTAAAGGAACCCGAAACCCTAAACCATCCTTCAGTCTAGGAAGCCTGGACCCCTTTCACGCCTCAGATGATTAGGTGGGCCTTCGGGGCATTGTAGATTTGCCCTCGTTGTCGCTTTCAGACTCAAAGGAACATCAATTTAAAGCCCTTGGAGAGAAATTATACTATGTATAAAACCCGGAAACAGACTATTCTACAGCACTTAAAGGAACCAATCTCGCAGGAATGATTCCGATGAGGACATGTGGAGCGTCGCCTCCGAGGAGCTTGGTGTTCGGCCCTTGTGTGGTTTGGGCTCTCGGCTTCGGGGGTTGGCGTTTTGGTCTTTAGCCTGTGGGGTTTCCAGTTTAGGGTTTAGGGTGCCTGAAGAGGGCATTGGGGTCTAAGGATATGTGGTTTCACGGAATGCATTAGAGGGAGCAGGACCCTCCTCAAACCCTATTCCATACTAGCTTCACCCTGCGTCGGGGTCGGCACTGGTTTGGGTGGTAACCTATGATTCTGAAACCAGTATCGCTCTGATACATCTGATGCTCTTGTTTCTCGCCACCATAATGCCGGTTCTAGTGTGTTTCAAAGTTTTCGATGGGGGAAAAGTGTTGTTGCCACACAATGTTGGCGGGCCCAAGCAATTCTCTGCACGCCTCACGTGAATGTTTTCGCTGCGGTGCATGCACGTATTGTTCCAAGTTGTTTCTCTCACATTGACAACATTGCACATCATGTCACGACGTGAAGACAGTACCTGCTTGGTTCTGCATGCTTGATGAAGTACCGTTTCAGTGTGTCGTTGCTCAAGTACGAAAGCACCAACAAAAGAACATTGCTTATTTGCGCCGAAACACGAAATCTCGAAACCTCGAGCCTTGAAATACCTCACGCATTCTTTGCACAAGCCGTAAGAAGTCAGATTGTTGCGTCCCATGTTAAAGCTCCTCATGTTCGCGGTGTGGCTGCATGGATACCCAGCCTCGACAGGGCAATCTAGCGGCAATGTTCCCCATGTTGTTTGCCGGAGCGACACTGCAGATGCAGCTGTGCCGAAAAGATTGCGAACCCAGCTGAAGCTGCCCCAGCCTGACTGGTATTCTTGCAAAGTAGCTAGAGCAGCAGCTGGTGCAGGCATTTTTGCACAAGGCCCAAATCCTCGTTCCTCAGGCGGTTGCATAGTCCAGGTTTTGGCAGAAGTTCATGTAGGCACCGTTTGGCAAAGCGAGTTGACGCGCTTGAATGAAGAAGAGCTGCTGGGGTTCGAATATTTTCAGAACCCAACCGATTACTTCAGCTTACGCATCGCAGAAGTGCTTCCGGTTCAGCAAGGCTTCGCATTGACATCTTCCAAATCTTTCGTGCTGCAGCGCCGGGCTGGCGTTGTGCAATTTAAAGATCCATCCACGTTCTCGGTGCAGCTAGCAAGCTTGACAGTGCCATTTTGGCCATACTTGCCGGGTGTGGATTTGTCCAGAGTTGCACTTGCATCAGCAGGGCAGACTGTGTCTGCTGGACACGTGCTGGCCAATGTTTGGGGCTTGAATGCGGGGAAGGCAGATGCCGAGTCTTGCTTAGTAGTTCCATTACCGGAGGCATTGTTGCAGATGGTTCTGCACGGTGAGTGGAAACACATTCCATGCCTTGGTCGCTGGCACGCTTCGCTATCAAATCTTCCCGAGGCTATTCAAACTTCAGTGGGTGTGTCAGGGCATGACCCTCCTGACCCGCAAGATGGAGGTATTTCGCAAGCGAAGCTTTTGGATTTGATGAAGAAATTGCAGTGCTGGGCCCAAGTTTTGCTTCGAGACGATGTTGATGATCAGCGAAAGCTTGAACTTTTGGGGGCTATTCGTTGGCTGGCCAACGTTCGGGCTGCTTTGCCTGGCGACCACCTGGCCGTCCCACGACCGAAGCTTCTCTATGGTTCCTTGTTCTTGGTGCGGTGCATGCTGATGACAAAGTTGATGCCGTCGTACGTTAACTTGAAAGAGATTGCTTTAGAATCCTTGCGGTTGCTATTTCCCAGCCTTTTGAAGGATTCGCTAGATCATCTGTTGGGCAGCAAACATTTGTTTCCAGGAGAAGGCAGCAAGCACAAAATGCGACTTGTTTTGGACGTCGCGCTGTTGCTTTGGAAGCGTGCGAAAGAATAGTATTCCAGACACCTTCTTGCCTACACTCGGCTCAATAGGTTCTGGGAGTAGGTAGGGTTTTTGGAAGGGGGTTCAAGGGCGTAGGGTTTAGTGAAGAGGGCGTTTGTAATAGGGTTTGAGAGGTTGGGTTTTTGAAAAGAGGGTTGTTTGGAGACTTGGTTTCCCTGTCTCGTGCTACTACCCATATACAGCGGCAGCGCCAGTCAAGAAACAGTCAAGCTTTCGTGAGGGGGTGTCGATTTCTTAAGCGCGCGTTTTTGGGAAAAAAACCGTTTCGGGATTTGAGGGTACCCTGGAATTCTTAACCCAAAATTCTTAATTTGCTACGGCAGCAAATAAAAAACAAAAAAAGAAATGAAGGCGCAGCGGGGTTCGTTCCCGCAGCACTTGCCATTCCAGCTCATCTGCTTATCCACTCGGGCGTGGCAGCCCAAGACTCTTGAAACGCCGCTATATTTACCACATTTTTTCGCAGCTTGTAAGCAGCCATTGCCAGAACCCCCCAAAATGAGAAATCGAGCCCCTCAATTTCCTAAATTTAAAATTTAAGAAGTCGAGCCCCTCAATTTCTTATTTTGGTGGTTTTTTTCTCCTATATGTCAAAGTTTAATTTACGCCCTTATTAAGCCTTTACAAAGCCTCTACAGCCCTCCAAACCTGTCATTAAGGCCTTATTAAGCCCTTATTAAGCTGTATTAACGCCTTATCAAGGCCTTATTAAGCCCTTATTAGGCATGCCCAGAACCCGCCAAAATAAGACATCGAGCCCTTCAATTTCTTAAGTTTAAAAAATCGAGCCCATCAATACAGCCTTAATAAGGGCTTATTAAGGCCTGAGCAACAGCTTTGGAGGGCTATAGAGGCTTTGTCGGGGCTTAATAATGAGGGCTTAAATTAAGCTTTGCCATATAGGGAAAAACCACCAAAAAAAAATCCGGGCCTGCCGAATAAGGGCTTAATAATGGCTTAATACAGCTTAACAAGGGCTTATTAAGGCCTTAATGACAGCTTTGGCTTGTCCAGGGCTTAATAAGAGCTTACAGGCAATATAGGAAAACCACCGAAATGAGAAACTGAGGCGCTCAATTTCTTAAACTTATGAAACTGAGGGCCTCAATTTCTTATTTTGTGGGGGTTCTGGTAAGGGCTGCTCACAAGCTGGGTAAAAAGAGATCGATATAGTGGCGTTTCAGAACTCGGCGGGCTGCCGCGCCCGAGTGGATAAGCGCATGAGTCTGAGTGGAAAGTGCTGTTGTCTCGAATCCTCCCGCGCCTTCATTTCTTGGTTTGCTTTGTAAGGGTTTGGCACCGAGCTTTTGGAAACTCCCTTAGTTTCTTGGTTTTTTCTGCGCGAACAACACCAGCGAAGACAAAATGAGAAAGAGGAAAATTAGAAATTGGCACGCCGAGTCCAGGGTACCTTGGATTTTTGTTTTGAATGTGCGCATTTTTGGTATACATTTTTTATCGCACGGTTGTCCGGGGGGCTCAATTTCGTAAGCCAATGATTTCTTAACCAGTGCTGCTGCTGTAGCTCCAAAGCCCGGTGAGGAGGCAGCTGCTGAAGGGCAGACGTCAGCTGAAACGCCGCTGCCCCTGTCTGGGGTTCGGGGTGTCGGGCTGAGGGCTTGGGATATTTTGGTTCGGGGTTTGGGGTTTGAGGGGTTTTGGGGGTTTAGGGGTTTAGGGGACTAGTGAGTCGCGTGTGTTCGATCCTTTAGTAGCCACGAGTGCTGCTGGAGGGTTTGCGCGCTGTCTTGTGCATTTTCCCGGCTGATTGCAAGAGTCCTGGATGCAAAAGGGGTTTAGGGGTTAGGGTTTGGGGTGTAGAGCTGGGGTTTAGGGTTCAGAGTTCAGAAAAAAGCTTCAGGTTTGGAGAATCGAATCGTTAAAACAGAGAGCAGGCTTTAGGGTTCAGAGTTTGTGTTGAGCATGGCTTGGCCTGAAAACCCCAAAACCCTAAAACCCGAAACCCTAAAGCACTGAAGCCCTACAGACCCAAGATCCTAAACCCAACCTCCCCACCAAGGCTTCAGCGCCTCCTTCGCGCTCAAACGACGGGTGTGCAGGAGGAGCTCCATTTTTCGGGATTTCAGGGCTTCGCTGTGGTTGCGGTTGTGGTTGCGATCGCACTTCTCACCACCACTGTAATTGTCTTCTCACCACCACTGTAATTGCGGAACATGCGCCCGACGATTCTTCTGATTGCTTGGACCCCCGTTCGGCCGGTTCCGGTTTTTTCAGGGTTCCAGATGAAGGCTCTTCAAAATGATGGGGCCGCTGATCCTCTGTCTGTCCCCTGAGACAGCCATGATCCATGATGAATAGCCCCAATTCTGCTGTCGAGTCCTCGAATTCGATGCCGCCGCAGGTTAGTCGAATCTGGGTGCATGTGGCAGCTCTCTTCCTGGCTCCCGGTTTTGTTTTAGGGATTACCTTAACCCCAAGTAACCTACCTTTTTAAGGACTTATGTAAAGAAATCATATTAGGGAACCCTAATAGGGTCCAGGTAGAATCTAGACTGTACTGTGCAGCACGGTATCCGCTTGAGCATCTACTCCCTGTCGACCTCTCCGTCACGCCCCCGTGTCTGTGTGCATACTACAGGGGCCTTATTAGTTACTTGTACAAGTTCAGACGGCTTGTGTCACTTTAGTCGCTATGGTATAAGTTCTCCCCAAACCCTATTCTAATTCTTAAGGCCCCTATATATCATAGAACCCTTACAGGAACCTTTAAAGGAACTCTATTCTAATTACTAAGGCCCCCGTAGTACAGCTTCTGGCTTTGAGGATCGGATGCAGCGCCTGGCAGATCATGGTCACGAGCTCCTGAGCTGGTGTCCGAGCAAAATTCAGAGGCTTATTGGCTGTAGACTCAACTTTTCAACTTTTGGGGTTCTTATATGGTAGTCGATTCTGAAAGTTTCAACTTTTATTTCCTTGGGTTTTTGGCCAGTGAGGAGGGAGGTTCATGGGTAGTTATAAGTAGGGTTATAAGTAGGGTAGCTATACTTAGAACGCATATTGGGGGACTTATAACCCCACCTATAACCACCCCTGAACCTCCAAGTAAACCCCAGGCCCTAAACCCTCAAGATGAGGGTTACCGAAGCAGCCCGAACCTACTTCTGCAGACCGGGCGTGAGTGTCAAAAACCCTAAAGACTGGGGTCCTCGCCAAGCTTTGTACGAGAGTGAGGGCTGAAACCCTAAACCCTAAACCAACGAGAAAGTGGAGCCTTGCCTGCTTGTGCGAGTGTGAGCGTCGAAACCAACGAGAATGCAGTGAGAGCTTTTGTTTTCGTATAGCGTGTAAGCCTCCTACGAGGCGGGCTCCAGACCCGTGCCTGCTGGCTGTAGTATGGAGAAAGAGTCAAGGCACTTTAAAACAAACCCCAAACCTTAATCCCGAAACCCTAAATCCTAAACCCCAAACCCCTCAACCGAAACCTTAAACCCCAAATTCGGTTTGCCGGAAGGGATCAGAAACGGTCTCATCGTTCTTGGCTCTGATGGCCGCTCGCTACTTCTGGATGATCCGCAAACTTGGGGGTTCCTTGAAAGGGATCCTTTAAGGGTTCCTTTAAAGGGATTTATATGGGTTCTATAAAGGGTCTATAGGGTTTAGGGTTTCCGAAAACTAGGGGTACCTTATGTTGGGGTCCTTGTAATAGGGATCCTACTATCTGGGATACTACATTAGGGTCCCCCATTTTCGGAACCACCCATATGTCGGCTGAACGGCAACATGGCGCTAAGGTAGACGCTAAGGCCTGAAACAGTTAAACAACGCCCCGAAAAAACCCTCACACCCTAAACGCTTGCCATGCATTCAGAATTCGGAATTAGGGTCGCTTGTTTGAGCGGTGCAGTGCTGCGATTCGAGACAGAGATTGAGTACTGAATTTGGTGTGATATGTTCTGAGATCTGATTCCGACGTTAGAGAGCTGTTAGGGGTGTTGAGTAGTTAAGTGGGCCGTCACTGGTTAGTTGGTTTGCGAGGTGAGAGCCATGCTTGTTTCGCGTCAGCGTCCGTGGTTGAATCCGTGCCTGCATGGTGCGAGAGCCCGAGTCGATACGCAAACTGCAAACCCTGAAGCCCACAACCCCCCAACCTTGGCAGCATTTTGCCCCTTCATCGCGAACAGGTACGCCCGACGTGTGGCTGAACTGGAGCAGGAGCTGGGACCTCAGAAGGCTCTCTTGACGGGCTTGGACACAATAACTCTGAACCCCTTAACCGTGACACGACCTTAGGTTCAGGGTTTGAGTGCTTCGGGCTTTGGGCTTAGGGTTTAAGCAAGGTCTTCAGTCGAGCTCTGGGATCAAGGATGGTGTCCGCAAGCGCAGCAGAAAACACCCTAAACCCTAAACTGCAAATCCTAAATCCTAAACCAAGATTCCCTGCAATGCGGGCCTCGTCCTTGCTAGGTAGGAGGGAAAAACCCCTAGACCGTAACAATCTGAGACGCAACCTTGCGCCGAAAACCCTCATCTCTGAATCATCGTGTTTACTGTTTAGAGTGTAAGGCCACTACTGTCTTCAAATCCGGGATCCTGCTTGGAGCCGAGTTGCGACCTGTAAGTCCAGCTCCTGCGGCCCAGGCTTGTCCAAGTGCAAGTACTACCTTTTTTTACTGATCACGTCAGTCTCTTTGTTCTGATCACCATCAAAGCAGCATCACAAGAAGCGGTAGACAACAGTTCAGAGCCCTTCCAACAAGCCTCGGCCCTGTGAACCACTTGCGGCATTTACTGAATATCTCCGTGCGCTCCTCCAGAGCGCAGGCATTCGTTGAGTACACCAGAGGTTCAGTTCACCGCCATCACGAATCTGCGTTGCGACGCAACAGAGCCACTACCAGTAGCACGTGCCCAATTGCCAACTTTCACCATTTAGTGCGATACATACATCCATCGTCTTCCTGCGGGTACTTGCTAGTCGCCCCTTCGCATGCCCTTCTTCCCAATGCAATATCCACCCGAAATTTCATCTAGCGGGGGTTCAGATGCAGAGCTACCAGCAAGGAATAAGACCCTGCGCAGCAGCTACCTCAAGGACTGGCTCCGCTTTGGTTAAAAGTTATCCTTTATGGTATCGCTCTGCTTCGGATTGCTTGTGGTCATCATTTCTACTAGTCTTTTTGTCATCAGCATGACTCCCACAATGGTTGGTACTGCCACTTGCCGCATCGAGGTACCCCTACCGTGACTCGTAGTCTGTCACTTCAACCTCGACTTTGTCAGTGTCGCCCTGGCTGTTTCCACTTGCTAGTGTAGGCATGATTGTGTTTGATGGTGTTACTCGTAGTTTTGCATGATTCCAGTCAGTAGTGCCATGACCGCTATGATGACGGCCATGGTAGCAATTACTGTTAGTCTTTTGAGGTTGCACAGTTCCTATTTTCATTTCCCTGATACTCTTTCCTGTTATGCTTATCAAGAAAATCGTGGCGCCCTCGATTATGCGGCTTGTTTGCTCTTGACTACCAGCCACTGACAGAATTGCACGTTTTGCAAAGACTCGAAATCGGAGCCATATGTGTATATGTATGTACATATGTATGCATACTCATACTTTTTTATGTATATACATATATCTATATATATATATATATATGTATGTATGTATGTATGTATAGATACGCATATCTCTGTCTCTGTGTTATGTGTGTATATACAAACACCTAGTGTTGAGTGCCCTTGTTTTCTAAGGCATTTATGGGCTTGTTCAGCGTTTCGGGACCTGGGATGAAACTGCTGTCAGCATGCGGTGATATGCTTTAGGGTTTACGGTCTAGGTTGGCCTCTGGGTGTCCTGGCCTGGCTTTCAGTACTGGATCAAAAAGCGCCCCAGTTATACTTCCGCAAACCCCCAAACACCATACTTAGCCCGAAAGCCCCGAAGCCCCAAAGCCCAAGCACCTAAAACTCTCAAGGCTTTTGAATTTATAACCCCCTCTAGCTACCCTTCTAGAGACCTTTATAGCAACCCTGAAAAGTGGCCCTCAACAGTAGCCCAGTTCAAGCAATATAGGGGCCTTAATGATTAGAAGAGGGTTTTGTTTGGTGCCCATTATTCTAGAGTTATAACAAGCAACCCCCCTCTTGATCATGGCACGGCAGAGAGAGAGAGAGAGAGAGAGAGCACCCCTCAAAATAGTATAGGTAATGCACCTGCAAGCGTCATGTGTGCAGGCATTCCAACAAGTCCAATGCCTCAAAAAGTATTAAGGCCCCTACTACGGTTGATGATATAAACCCTGCATTACCTTAAGGACCCTAAACTATGGGAATTATGGTATATTCCTTATCATGGGTCGTGCCGGGTTTTTATCATCAACTGTATGAATCAACCGTATGAAGCTTCTTGGGACCCCCGGAAGGAGGCGGATCCCCAACACTTCCGCATCGACTCGGCCGAAGAGCAGGTTTAGTGCTTTAGGGCGGTTCAGGGTTTAGTGGTTTCGGGTTTAGGGTTTAGTGGTTTAGGGTTCAGAGCCCCAGCTGTCCTGGCGCGACGTTGCAAGCCAGTTGCAAAGGGGTGGGGCTCTAGTTTAGGGTTTGGGGTGTTCTAAGTCAGTGATTTCGTTCTGTGTCTGGCGTTGTTCAGAGAACAGGTGCGACACCCAGGCGGGATTCACACAAGCATTGCAACAAGGGTTTCCAGAGGGTCTCTACAAGGGTGAAGGGTATAGCGTGAGTTTCCAGGCTTCTATAAGCATTGCGATAAGGGTTTCAAAAAGCCTTGCATGAAGAGCTCTTGAGGGTTCAAGGGCCTGTAGGTGAAAAGGGGGATTTAGAGCTTGAGGGCTTCAGCGTTCAAGGCGAAGGCAGCTTTGGATAGCGATTGGCAGTAGCGATGGAGTTTGTGAGGTTAGGGCTTCAGGGATTGTTCTTTGCCCTTCCGGCATATCAGAGAGATCCGCGCTCAAAAGGGGTTCGGGGCCTTCATGGGTTTAGGGTTGCTTCCGGTTCGCAAGTTCATTTTCGTCCATGACTGTAGTTGGAAGTTGAATGGAACCACCTAACTCACAGCACCAAGAACCTCGCCTGGCTTGTTTGACTGTGCATGCCGAAACCCTGGTACGGTTGATGATATAAGTTCTGCATTACCCATGCCAAGGAGCATGCCATAAATCTCCCGGGTCCTTAAGCTAATGCGGGCATTCATATCATCAACCCTAAACTTTGAACCCTAAAACCCTATGGATCGCTTAAAGGAGCCCTTGTAGATCCCTTTAAAGGTACCCCTATAAGACCCCTTTAAAAAAAACCCAAAATTTACATCAACGGTAGTTCGTTTCATCCAGGAGGAAGAGGTGGTGGGTCCGGAGCAGCCCAGCGAGAATCGCCAGGCCGACTGTGAAGAGCTTCAGAACTTTCTTGCTAAAGTTGTTTTATATGTTTGACAGCGGCTCAAATTCGTCGAGGTTTTGTAGGCTTCGGAAAGGTTTTGGTTTGTATATGTTTTTCGCAGGGTTTCGTGTAGTTGTGTGCTTGTTTAGAGGCTTCTGTTTCTTTGAAGATGTGCAGTCCGCAGGAGTCGTAGTGGCTGCGGCGCAGGTGGAGTAGCAACAGCATCAGCAGGAGCAGTAATAATGGCCGTCCCCGAGGTCCTCGCGCGCGATGGTGGAAGTAGTAGTCGTCGTCGTCGTAGTCGTAGTAGTCGTAGCTAGAGTTGGAAGCAGTCGCAACTAGGAGGAGCAACAGCAAAGTTGGCATAAAGTGCAGCAGTCGCAACAGTTGCAGCAGCCTTCGTCAGGAGAGCCTGCGAAACTCGAAGACGAGGGAGCACTCGTCGCTGCAGAGCCTTTTTGAAATCGATTGGGACGACTTGGGCGCAGAGCTTCTTGAGAAAGCATCTCGCATGAACCGGAGCCTTCTTCAAGATATGCGGTTCAGAGGGATTGCACTCCGAGTCGAAACGGGCGCTTGGAAGCCGGCGTACATGTAAGTAGAGACCTTTTGAAGCACTTTCGAGTAGAGGGCTGATGTTGCAACTAGACGCTCCCAATGAACATTCAACTAAATGGGACCTTAAACAGATCACAAATGGCCTAAGCCCTGAGGAGAGACGGAAGTGGAGAGTTTCTGGCATAGCATCTTCTGTGACTTGAATACGGTTCAGTGGCACTGCAAGAGCCTCAAGATTTTAAGGATCAGAATCCCGAAATCCTGAACAAGGAATGAAAAGCTAAGTCTACACCCAACTGCATGGAGAAAAAGCACAATGGCAGCGTGGGCTTGGCATTGTGTTCGTCGTCTTCGAATACGTCTTAAGGCAAAGCAGCACTGTCTCCAGCCGCTGCCGTCGCACGGGGTCGACGCGAAGGAACGGTCTCCTTGTAATATAGGGGCCTTAACAATTACCTGTGCTATTTTGCGGGTTCCTTCCTTATTATAGTTCCTATTGTAATAATTAAGGCTCCTACATGAGTTGGTACAGGGAATTGGGCAGAGGCAGGGGTTTTATGCGGACAGAAACGTGGCAGTTGTCCAAAATACCTGTCCACCGCTTAGCCAGACGGTAGTTGTCCTTCGTGGTCATTCCTTTTTTTGAACGCACGTCTCGACGAGCCTCCAATGCCTGGCCAGGTGCTGCATGATCCACGCGAAAACTTGTTGGCGCTCGACCGCCTGCTTGACGCACTTCCCGAATCGCCACTCGATAGTGTCTTACAAAGACCGAAGTGGGAGTTTCCGAAAATTAGGGGTACCGTATTTGGGGTCCTTGTAATGAGGATCCTACTATTAAGGGTACTATACTAGGGTCCCCTCTTTTTCGGAAACTCCCAAGTATTAGCATCTTGAGAGAAGGAAAGGGATCCTAAACCTTAACCCGAAACTGCAAAGCCCAACCCCGAGAATTCCATGAATCCTCCGAGTTCAACAAGGCCCTCCACACAGCCTACACCGACCCTAAACCCTAAACCCCTAAACCCCTAAAGCCCTAAACCCTAAACCTCTAAACCTTACCAACTAAACCCTACACTAAATCAGAAATTCCTACTCGTAAGAAGCACTCTCAATGGCCCACAATCCTCAACTGCCGAGTCGAGGCTGCCTGCTCCGTAGATTTGTTCAGTGTAGGGTTTAGGATTTTGGGGTTTAGGGTTTAGGGGTTTAGGGTTTAGGGTCCCAGCAGACGGCGTGGGAATGCCATCGTCACTGCTTGCAGGCGTGTGTTGAGTGGAATTGCGTAGTACATCTGTGGGCTTTGTATCCTCATGGATATCAACTCGCCTGGCTTGACACTGAGGAGGGATGGTGTGTGTTTTCTTTGGACAGCTTTGAGCCCTTGGAGGTTTGCAACTTCTTCAGCCATTTTCTCATGTTGTATAGACCCTTCACTGTGCAGCTAATGCTCACGCGTGATGTATGTGATGTAATCCTTCCTTCTTGCACGCCACTTCATCATTTGTTGTATACCACGTACCACATCCTCCTTTTCTTTGAGATCGTATCGACGTCCTGGCTGCTTCGGGTACAGCGTCTCCTCTGAAGCTGGGGATATCGATGCTGCATGTCGGCCTCGATCAACATGATTGGGGTCTTAAACTGGCTAGACTTCAGTCCAGTGGCAAAAAAGGGTCCCAGCAGAGGCGTTGCAGGCTGGATGCAAAAGGGTTTAGGGTCCTACAGCCGGGCTTGACGTTTCGAAGGCCTGGGAGAGAGAGAGGATTTAGGGTGTAGGGTTTAGGATTGTCACGAGAGCTAGGAGCCTGGATGCAACAAGAGTTTGGGGTTACGGTTAAGTGTGTTTGGTTCTGCTAAAGCGAGTAGGCGTGGCAACATCGGCAATGATGGTTATGGTTATGATGGAAGCTAGGAAGTATTATTCAGGAAATACGTCTTGTCGTAGCACGTGCAAGAACAACCGCACGAACAAGCAGCATTGGATGACACTTGTAAGGCTGGTAGTAGTAATAGTAGTAGTAGTAGTAGTAGTAGTAGTAGTAGCAGTAGTAGTAGCAGTAGCAGTAGCAGTAGCAGTACTGTAGTAGTACTGTATCGGAGTACTGTAGTACTACTGTAGTACTGTAGAAGTAGCAGCAGCACCAGCAATAACGACCAACTGCGAGTGAGAGTGCAGCCGAGGCAGTCGCAGTTGATTTGGTGGCAGTTTGCCCGCTATGAGTCCGAGCTGGGATACCTGCGCTCAGTCATCGCCTCCTACGAGGACCGTTCATCACATGTTGCAGTAAACCCTAAACCAAAAGCACCTTTTCGTAGAGTAGTAGAGTTGTCGTTCACCCGAACACAGAAACCTCGTCCGGCGAGTCCGAGTTGCGAGAGCGGAAGCGCCTTCACCGCTTGTGTGAGGAGATTTGCTTGTCCCGGGTGGAAGAGGCAGCTTGTGAATCGAGAACTGACTTGCCCGATGCCGCTGCGGAAAAGAGGCTCTCGGAACCTCTCGCTTTATCGCACTTGTATGCGATGAAGGACCTAGGTCCCGCCTGCACAGTGACAAACCCTGAGCGCTCAAGCCTTAGTCTGCGGACCTTATCGAGAGATCTTCACGGGCAGGGCGTCCTGCGAAGCTCCACATACATGGCTGCAAGTCGAGACCTTCACCCCTCAGCTCCAAATGCTTCTTCGCCTTAGCCTTGCTGAGAGACCTCGTCTAGCTTGTCCGGGCTGCGACAGCGTAAACGCCGCAATCCCCAACAGTGCCCTTATGTAGCCTTAAATCCTAGCATCTGAACCCTTAGCCCTGAAACCTTAAACCCTAACCCGAACCCTTAACCTGAAGGCTGATCCCCTGAGCCTCAAGCCTCTGAGCCTTAAGCCCTGGTCAGACCATTGACTTCGCTTTTTTGGGTCGCAAGCCCGGTCTACTTACCTTTGGTTAGGAGGGAATGGAGGAATGGGGTACAATTATAACTACTATTACTACCATTCTTCCATTCCCTACTAACCAAAGGTAAGTCTCAAACCATAGCAAGAACCCCCCCTGAGTCTCAAGGGTTCTCGTAAAGCTTCGGGGTTGTTGGGCTCCCGAGGCTTTCGAAACCCTACAACACGAAGCCCTAAACCCGAAACCCCCAAAGCAAAACCCCAAACCCGGAACCCTCTTTTCCGAGCCCTAGGCTGCAGAGCCCATCGCTCGCAACTCAGCCGAGAAGGGCCCAACAGCGAAAAGAAGCGAAGGACTTTGGCGGCGGGTCTCGGGGCTTCAGGGCTTCAGGGCTGGCTTTAGGGCTAAATGTAGGAACCTGATTAAGAAATCTTGGGCCTTTATTAGGGTTTCTTTTACGAATCCTACTATGTTGGGGTTACAGGCCCAGGGTTTCTTAATCAGGTTCCTACATGAGGGCTCCAAAGGTCCAGGGCTTAGGGCTAAAAAGGCTTCTTAGGCTTTGGGGCTTTGGGGTTCAGGGCTTTCTGTTTCTGTGCGTCAGTGAAAGACCGTGCAGTTGATGAAGGCTGCTAGAAGAAGGGGGACAGTGCAATGTCTTGTGTGGTGTCTATATGCCTCACGCGAGCCCATGAGGTATAAAGTAGTAGAAAGCCTCTCCCGTTCGCCCACAACAGTTTCAGAAATCAACTTCACGAAGAATGCAAATCAAAGTGGAAGGAGCAGTCTTTGCAACAAAAGCATCAGTATAGCAAAGAATAGCTCCATTACTGCTGCTGTTGCTCCAACCCTAAACCCCAAGCCCACCCAAAAAGCCGTAAGTCGGGAGGAGCAGACCATTGCGCCGACAAACGCGGCACTGCTGGGAGCCGTCGGCGGGTTTTCGAACCTTTGAAGCAATGAAGGGCCCAGCAAGGTTTTGTTTTCAAAGCGGTCTAAAGACACGTAGAGGGCTTAATGGGGTTCTGTGGGTTTCACTGGGGTTTGTGGCACCAATGTCGCACTTTGCAAACATGCCCGGGTTTTGGGGCAAAGGCGGATCGGGGGCTGTAGGGTTCAGGCTGGGTTGAGGTGCGCGAGGACTTTTTATCTTTATTCTAGGGGCTGCGCCCACGGGCTTGCAGGGCAGGTAGAAGCCTGAAGCAAGGCCACGCACCCGCGCTTGCGTTTGCTCTCCCCTTGCCCCTCCCTTTGCCCTCTCTCGTCGGCCCTCCATATGCAGCACGCACCCCTCAAGGGCCAGCGGCTAGGGTTACAGGTTTTGGGGTCTTGTGGGGTGAAGTATTTGGGCTGTGCTGCTTTCGGGGTGTCAGTGCTGCGGGTGTACTTCGATGGGTTGTTCGGCAGAGTGGCGTCCTTTTCGGATGCTCGAAGGAAACCGTAATCCTAAGCCCCTAAACCCTAAGCCTAAACCCTAAACCCTCAACGCTAAACCCTAGGCGGAAAAAGGTGCTGAAAAAAAACACCCTAGATCCGAACCAGCCAGTCTGGGCGTGTCGCGTTTATCTCGCAGCTTGCCCGTCGAAACCAGCCATGAGTCGACATCTTGGCTGTCCACTCCTCCGGGTAGGGTTTGGGGGTTTAAGAGTTTAGCATGAAGCGTATGGAGTCTGCAAAAAGGAGTTTACTGATACTGGCTATATAATTAGGGGTTTCGGGTTGAGGGTAACATCCGGGGCTCCTGTTGGACTGAAGACTCTACATCCCATCAGGGCACATCGTGACCGGAACCCCTGAGAACCCCAAAGCTATGTTTGGTTATAGCTTGGGACAACCGTCTGGCATCGTCTGCTGGAAAGTCAAAGGGGATAAGGAGGGACTAATGGGGACCCCTACCCTGTAATGGGCTATCTAATGGGTATATAATCGCTATATCAAGGGTATATACCTAGGGGTCCCCACTAAGGGACCCTCCTTTTCCCCTTTGAGTCTGGCATCGTCTGCCGCAAAGGTTGGCGGCTGGTCGCTCCTCATCTGCACAAAGTAGCACTGCCATCATAAGAGCGAACTAGACGACTACCAGCAGGATTATCGCAGCCGCCGTGGTCGGCATAGTCCTTCGTCACCATGCCATGAAACAAGTGGCATGATATCACTATAGGCTTATTTGCTGTAGACTCAACTTTTCAACTTTCGGGGTTCTTATAAGGTAGTCGATTCTGAAAGTTTCAACTTTTATTTCCTTGGGTTTTGGGCCAGTGAGTAGGGGCCGAAATAAATACCTACAATATTTTGGGGGGTTCCTTGTTAGAACTATAGATCGTATTTGGGGGTTTCTTACTATGTAGAATGGCCCCAAAACCCTACTCTGACCATTATAAGGCCCCTAAGATTTCCAAAACCCTAGTCTAATCATTAAGGCCCCTATACTACCAAAGCCCTACTCTAGTCATGAAGGCCCCTAAGATTTTCTCGTCTTTTCTCCGCGTGGGCGCTGCTGCCCAGGCCGAGCGTCGAGGCGAGGGGATGCAATTCTGATGCAGGCCAGGCGCAAGTCCCCACAATCATAGGGGCTCTTTCGGGGGGGGGGGGGGGGGGGGGGGGGGGGGGGGGGGGGGGGGGTTTAGAGTTTCGGGTATAGGGGCTTAGGGTTTAGGGTTTAGGATAGGGACCCTTAGGGAGTGGGGTTTAGAGTTTAGGGTATAGGGGTTTAGGGTTTAGGGTTTAGGATAGGGACCCCCATTTTTTTGTCAGGTGTTACGTAACAAGGGGGCAGGGTCTCACAAGAATTCTTACTTTGTTACATGTCTGTTACATAGGAGGTAGCGGTTGGGCAAAAGGGGGGTAGGGGGAGGGGCTGTTTAGAGTTTAGGGTATAGGGGTTTAGGGTTTAGGGTTTTAGGATAGGGACCGGGACCCTTAGGGGGTTAGGGGGAGGGGGGTAGGAGACTATACTCCCATTATGGGTATCAAGGCCCCGTACCCCCCTCCCCGCTACCACCCAAGGGTCCCTATGAAAAACCAGAAGCCTTAAACCCCGGAGTCCGACAACGAGCCCTGCTACGCTTGTGCAGGGTTTAGGAGGTGTCTGGTTGTGGGCAAAGACTGGGAGAAGAAAGCTTGCAGAGTGTATATACAAGCATTAGAACATCTAGAGAGAGAGAGAGAGAGAGAGAGAGAGAGAGAAGCCACTAAATTTCAATAAGCAGCACAAGGGCAGTGTTGCTCAGAAGGCAAACGTCAATGCTAAGTGTCTGTTGGGCAATATCATTGGTTTTGGGGTTGTGGATGGTGTCGTCGCGGGTTATGGTAGAAGCTGCTACGGTGCCAGTATAGTTTCACACGATCATGGACACACATACGCACACACGCGCAACAAACGGATATCAATGTGAGATTAAGGGTGCAGCAGCAAGGCATGGACGCCTTAAGCCACTGGCTCCAAACTCTCCCCCTGACTCATCAAGCAGGCTCGGGGTGATGAGTACCCCGTTTATCCGGCTGCAACATGGCCGTGATGGACTTCAGGTTTCGGGGACCTCGCCGGGGTCGAATTCCCGACTCTGATAGGTTTTGAGTTCGGCGGAGGAGTGGTTCCAGGAGGTTCAGAAACCCTGAGCTGCAAATCCTAACCCTCAACAATCAACCCGAACCCCCAATCCTTGGTGGTGGAGAATCCTGCCTGCTGAGGAAAGCCTTCTTGGCGAGAAGGATGCCTGCGGAGTAGGCCCGCGGCGATACCCAGGGCAGTGGGGTTCTTAGGGTTAGGGGTTTAGGGGTTTAGGGGTTTAGAGGCGTAATTGATTCTCGGTGATCCGTACATCGTGGATCCTGTCGTTTCTTGGAGCTGGATTTCTTTTAATGTGAGGGCCTCAACAATTACCTGCACTGTTTTGGGGGCTCCTTGTTTTAATCATAGTATAATGGGCCCCCAAACGCTATTTTAAGTATTAAGGCCCTCTATTATGGCAGTGAGCAAAGGCGTGGTTGTCATGTGGTGATGATGGGGTTCAGTACAGTAACCTGGGATAGGCATAAAGTGATACAAATGGTTTTTGGTAGCCCCAAATCAAATCAGGGTACTTATAACCGAGTATAGCCGTACTTAGTCGCCGATCGTCCAACTGTGCAGGAATGATTGCAAACATGGAGAAGCCCGCCAGCCACGACCTGCTGGAAGCATCTCGTCCACATGCCGTGAGGAGATGGTGTTCATGTGGGTGGTTGTCAAAATTATGGTCCCTTTTTGGGTCCCTAATATACTACGACACCTAATATTTAGGGTACCCAAAAAGGGGACCCTAATTTTGACAACCACCCGTTGTGTCTAGGATTCACTCGGATGCGAGCCTTGTCCCCCGTCCTGTAGTCGGTCCCTGAACCCTTACATCTCAAATTGCAAAACCCTAACCCTAAACCCTAACCCCTAAATCCTAAACCCTAAACCCTAATCCAGCCATGCGAGAGGGAAAAAACCCTAAACCCTGAACCCAAAACCCTAAACTCTGAACCCTAAAGGCTGAAACCCCAATGCCGAACCCTACACCAACAAAACCACGAGCCAGAGACCCCTAAGCGCTGTTAGTACGGTTTGGAGTTTAGGGTTTAGGGGTTTAGGGGTTTAGGGTTTAGGGGTTTAGGGGTTTAGGGGTTTAGGGGTTTAGGGGTTTAGGGTTCAGGGGTTTAGGGGTTTAGGGTTCAGGGGTTTAGGGGTTTAGGGGTTTAGGGGTTTTAGGGGTTTTAGCCACGAGTGCTACAGCATTCGCCGTTCCCCGGCAAGACTTCAAGAGGCCTGGATGCAAAAAAGGGTGATCCCTGAACATAGCTCCTAAGAAGCCGATTGGCTGTACGGTGGAACACTGGAAATTGAAACCCTAGAGTTTAACGCCCTCAACCTCAACACCGTCACCTTAAAAGTCCTAAAGCCTAAATCCCTAAACCAACAAGCCCAAAGGCTACCCTTAGATACCCCTGACAGAAACCTTATAGAATCTGTTTTGAGCCATTCTAACTAGGAATTCCCTGAAGGACCCCTAGCCGAACCTTGATACCTCAGGTCGCTCTGCGGGCCCTGTCCTGCATGGAGCACCGCGGGGCCTGTAGCGGAGGAATGGACAGCGGCTTGGGCCTACACCTTAAGGACGAAATGGACCCTAAACGGGTTTAAGGTTCATATACCATATAGGGATTCATAGTCTATGGGCATAGGGCCCCTACTTTTAAGGGTCATTTGGTCCTTCAGGCACTTATGCTTCGAGGTTCATGGATGGTTACAAGTGGTGGTGTTTATAATAAGTAGGGAAACTATAATCATGAATCATATTGATTGGGGATGTAGAACCGCATAGCCCTACCTACAATCTACAACTACCCATGAATCTCCAAGTAGGGCTCGGTCTTGAAATCTGGGGCTCTAGGATCTTGGAAGCAACACAGGGGGACACCACCGCTTTGTGCTTCGCTTAGGGGTACTTAGAAATAATTTGTAATTTTTGGTTATTATAATCCTTAAGAAACAGCTAAACTTTTAATTTTTGCTAGGGTTCTAAGTTCAGTATAGTTCGGTTTGGATGTTCAAGTCAGATGCTGCCGAGGCAACATCGCGCTGCTTGCCTGATTTCATGGCTTCCTGTCCTCTCCCCAAAGCTTCGACCCCATGCCTTAAAGCCCGACCCTAAATCGATCCACCCAGGACGGGGCTTTGCTGCGAGGTCACCTTGAGATCCGAGTCAAGTGCGCGCATGTGTGGTTCTCGAGCAAGAACGGAGAAAGCATGGACAGCAGTGCACTCTTGGAATCTCTGGGATGTACAGAGCAATCTTCCGCAACTCCGAAACCTAGAGCACATCCTGAGTGAGGTCTCGCAGGCTGAGGTAAACATGCTAGCAAGCTAAGTAAGACCATTGCTAGGTGTATATGGGTAGTTGTCAGAATTATGGCCCCTTTGTGGGCAGCCTAAATATTAGGTGCCGTATTATAATAATGAGCCAGAAAGGGACCCTAATTTTGACAACCACCCATATGTGGGAATCTTGCAGCCATGCCGGGATCCTTCTCCCAGCTCGCCCTACACTCAGGATCTGTGGCGGCGACGACAGTGGCGATGGGGCAGGGGTCATGACTCAGATACCGCCAGGATCCTAGAAGGGACAAGGCTCCTGTTATCATGATGCTGTAGTGTAACTTGTCTTCTACCAATGCTCAGACCCCATCTGTGAGGGTCATCGGTGCGAATCCCAGGCGTCTATCCAAGAACCTGCTCCCGAGGCCCTAAAACCTAAAGCCTCCTTTCCACATCCTACCATCCCCCAGGCCCTAAGCCCTAAACCCTCCAGCGTGTGAGCGCCGAAACCCTCAAGCCTACATCCTTCAGGGGCCTCGAAAGGTAGGATGAAGGTAGGTGGGATAATCCCCAAATGAGAGTCTTTATATAAGGGATCCTTCATCCTACCTACCTTCGTCCCACCTTTTGAGGTCTCCAAATCCTCCATCAGAGATCCGAGAGCTAGTGCAAGGTGGGAGCTCTTTGCCTGCGACGTGAACCTCCCCGATGACACGGGCACCTGCGCTGTGGGGATGCTCTTTCTCTCCAAGGACGGCGTCGGCATCAGAAGCTGGTGGAGAGTGTGGAACTTTGAGAACGTACAGGGAACCTCAGAAAGTTGGAACATCCCTCTACGGCGCTTCTACTTTGGGATCTAGGGCGTTGAGGCTCTGAGTGTTTAGGATCCGGGGTTGGCTCTTTGAGTTTGCAGGTTTAGACTTCAGGGCTCAGAGGTGCGGGCAGGAACAGGCACCAGGGCTCGCCCACCCGCTTTTGCAGAGCACCAGGTCCGGATAGTTAGTAAGGGGATCCTCTTCCAGCCACTTACATATAATTCCATTTCTCAAGATACTCCAAAACCATATCTCGATTCTTTTTGAGGCCCCTACATCACCTCACCATCGACTCTTTCCCCGAGCTAGCAGACCCGGGTCCCTCGACCCTACACCCCACACCTTAGAAGCTGCCCCCACCCTGTAACAGTGACTATAAGGATTATATCAGGGCCCTATTATATTCCTATTATACCACGATTTCAGGGTGGGGGCAGCTTCTAACCCCACACCCCTGAACCCTGAAGCCTCAATGCCCGAGCCATAGCCAGAACCCCTGGAACCTGAAGGCCCCAGCCTAGGTTGCCGGATGTGTGTTGAGTTGGGGAGCTTCGGGTTGAAGGGGTTACTTAAAGGATCATGGGACTTAGTAACTAGGGTTATAACTAAGGTAACTATACTTATAGTTACTTATAACCTCACTTCGGGTACTTATAACCCCACTTACTAAGTCCCATGATTCTCCAAGTAAGGCTTCATGTTTGAGGGTTGAAGAGGGGTTCAGGGTTCAAACAAGGGAGTAGGAGCCATGGTCGAGCAGAGAAGTTGGGAGTCTGTTAGTGGGGATTTTTGGGCATTCGGGCTGTAGACTTCACTTTAGATCGTGGAGGCTAGCGGCTGTGTGGCTCAGAGGACACTGATGTTCGAATCGATGCGAAGATCAAGCTGGAGAGCTCCCTCACACAGGACGGCTGGTTTAAGGGCAATTATATCTGTAGTTACCTTACTTATAACCCCAATTACTAAGTCCCATGATCCTTTACGCAAGCCAACATACTGGTCCTGAGCCCAAAGGCCGAAGCCTCGAAGAAACGGCACGACGTTAAGCTCTGCCTCGTAGTCGATGCAGGCCACTGCACCAGCCCGAAGATCTGGGGGAGAGTCGGAATCTTTCAGCCTCAACCTTACATGGGCAGTTCTCTGAAATAGGGTCCCTCTTAGGACTCTTTCAAAAGAGTGCCGCACTATATTTGGGATCTAAAAAATGGGGCCCTAATTTAGAGAACTACCCACATCCTCCTGATCTGCAGACTTAGCCCCCAAGCCCGAAACCCTGAACCCTCAGCCCGACACCCTAAAACCCTCAGCCCGACACCGCAATCCCTACTTGGAGGTTCATGGGTAGTTATAAGTAGGGTTATAAGTAGGGTAACTATACTTATAACCCACATTGGGGGACTTATAACACCACTTATAACTATCCATGAACCTCCAAGTACTGCCAGGAGGGCTTTGACATTCTCGGCTACCGGATTGTTCCAGTCGATGCTTCAGTGCTCGGTGCCTTAGCTTATCGCATCTATCGTCAGCCAATGGTAGCGAGACATATGGTCCTTTTTGGGTCCCCTAAATAGGTGCCGTGCTATATTAGGGATCCAAAAAGGGACCATAATTTTGACAACCACCCATATGCCAGAGGCCATGATCAGAATTGTAACACGAGCCATAATGCGCAAAGCCAATACTGACTAATCATTGTTGATGCGCAGGCTCTGCGTTAGCGCAGAAGCCTCTGAACCCATAGAAGCCTGAAGACTTACCAACGTTACACCCTAAGGTTCCGATAAGTATGTCATAAAGTGCCCCCCCCCAATCGTAAGTGTCAAGATGTTTGTATCGAGCAAAAGCCCCAACAAGTACAGCTCAGGAGAGCGATCCGCGCAGACGGAGCCTTGGATGGAGCGACGCATCCTGAGCCTGTGTGGTCATGGCTTTGGTGTTAGGGTTTGGGGTTGAGTTCAGGGTTTCAGGACTCTCTGGAACCCCTGGATGCAAAAAGGGTGCCTTAGAGTCTAGGGTTTGGGGTTTAGTTCAGGGTTTTGGGGGGTTCCTTAGAGTTTAGGGTTTTGTCGTTCGTGGAGTTTGGAGACCATTTCTTGGTAATGTAGGAACCTGATTAAGAAACCCTGGGCCCACAACCCCAATACATTAGGGTTTAGGGTTTAGGGGAGGATTTAACCCCAATTTCTTAGGATCCATATTAAGAACCCTAGTAAGCAGCCAAGGTTTCTTAATCAGGTTCCTAACATTAGGGTTTTGGGCTTTCGGGTTTGGGGCCCTCGAGGTTACCCTAGAGCCAGGGAAGTTGGAGGCCCCCCTGGGATCCACAACTGAGCCAAATGGGAGTTTCCGAAAACTAGGGGTACCTTGTTTTGGTGTCCATTTAATAAGGATCCTAATATTCAGGGTGCTATATTAGGACCCTATTTTCGGAAACTCCCAAATAATGCAGAAGTTAAGCCAGTACTGTTCCTTAGGTTCTCTGTTTGTATTTATGCTGTTTTACAGCCCAGAACCGACTCTAATTGTAAGGACCCTAATTTGGCAATTCCTCGGTGCAGGAGCAGATCTTTATCTCCCATCCGACGGCGCGGGACGCAGAGATGGAAACGCTTTTGCACCTGGCTTCGCATTTTAGGGTTTAGGTTTTCCGGTTACAGGCTTCCTGGAAGGGTTCCATCACGGGTTCCATACGGATTGCTGTAGTGGTTCGATAAGGGATATCGGAGCCTGAATCGTTTACGATAGTTTATAATGCTTTATACCGGTTTTGAGATATGTTATGGTGTATTTATTTAAGAGCTTGACACGCACACTGTTACCATTTGTTCCGCCCTCTGCGTTACCTGCCTCCTGCTCCTTGCAAACTTGTTGCACAAAGCACCACAATCGAACCGAAGGCCTTCCGACAGAGTGTTTAGAGGTCCAGAGGTTGTCCTTCTTAGGCTCTAGGGTTTAGGGGTTTAGGGTTTAGGGAGGCTTTTTGTCCCCGACCACAAACCCTGCTCCTGGAGAGAAGGGCCAGAAGCCTCCATCCCACACCCAGCTCGGAACCCACAGCCTGGAACTTACCTTTGGTTAGTAGGGAATGGAAGAATGGTAGCAATAGTAGTTGTAGTTGTACCACATTCCTCCCTTCCCTACTAACCAAAGGTAAGTTGAGCCGTAAGCCCGAGCCTTACAGCCCGAAATCGAAGCCCTAAGCCACGAAGCCCCGAGCCCCGGAAGTCTGAACCCTGGAGGCCCCTAAACCCTCCTAGAGGAGCCCTTATCGTACTCTTGAGGGGCCCTAAACCCTACCTGAACCTACACTTTTTTGTAGGGCCCCTATAAATTCCATATTAGGGTATAGTAGAATGGGCCTCACCTCCCTATTCTAATTATTAAGGCCCCTACATTATGATAGCGGTTGTCAGGTGAAGCTCCCGTGAGGGACCCTGAACCCTGAGCCAGGTACATTGCGCGCAAGCGCGTGGAGGATACGCTTTCCTACGAGGCCCTGTATGTCGCCTCCCTATCTCCCAAGACCATCGTCTACAAGGCCTGCAATAGAATACGGGTCGCAACAAGTACCAACGTGCTTCTTTAGGACTTCTCATTATAATTGGAATGTATTAATACCCAAAAACTGTTCTACTTATTCTGGCCTCGCATTAGGGTTTAGGATGGTTTGGGTTTTAGGCTTCACATGGTTGAGCTTGTTGTTGCTAAAATCTGATCCCCGGCAGGCAGGAAGCTGAAGAGCATGATGGTTCTGAGGGAACTATAACCTAGAGAACCCGAATCTTGCACAAGAGTCGTCCATTCAATGACACCACGTGGCCTTTCGCACATCAGAACTCTTCTTGGCTTCACCCCAAACCGAAATCGTGTCTGAACCCGAAACCTTACAGATAAGCCAAGCCCCGCAATACGGGATCGTCCTAGCTAGCTGCGAGGCAAAAACCAAACCTTCAGCTAAACCCCAACGACCACAAAATACCAGGCCCCAAGCCTTAAACTTAAGCTGTTTTAACCCTGCGTCTGCCCCAGGGCATGCTGAAGTCCTCGGCGATAGTGAGCTACTACAAGGCGCTTCCGGTCTTGTCCTCTTTTATTCATGGTGTTGTGGCTTGTTCTTCCTTGATGCATGGAATGGCGCATTGAGTCGACCTTTGGAGATTTATTTTTGCGATTTGGTTTTCTTGAACTGCTCTGCAGCATGGAGGATCTGCGCGATCCGCGGTACAAGGTTCAGTACGCGCTCTGGTGCCCAAGCTGCAGCGATGACGGCCAGTCGGTGGTAAGCAACACATGGCAGAAGCCCCCTGTGCCGCTTGTGTTTGGTTTCTTGTGTTTAGGGTTTAGGGTTTGTGAATGAAAATGGTAACACTGGAATGCAGGCACCGCCGGTTTAGCACCAATACCATGCCGCGGTGGCCCCTGGCGCAGCCCTTCCGCAGCTTGGACAAAGACAAGGCGTGAAAACAGTTCAGACAACAGGCACGATTGTGGATCATGAAAGGGGGAATTTAACAGTAATGATTCACTACTCCATATTGGTTGTTGTTTTTGTTTTGAGCCCTACATTCTTCTTGTTATTGTTCCAACGACTATTATTGTTGTAATGGCAATTAGTGCTGTTAGTCATATTGTGGCTGTAAGTTTTCTTACTATAATGGTTGTCATTGTTTGGTATGTTTGCTGTTATACAGTTCTTGCAACAATGTTTATGGTTATTATCGCTGCTATTCTTCTTCGTCTTCGTCTTCTTGCTACTGCTGCTGCCTCTGCTGCTGTTGCTGCTGTTATTGTTGCCGTCACTATGATCAGTGTCATTGTTGTTGTTATCATTGCTATTATGATATCATAAGTCTTCTTCTTCTTCTTCTCATGTTACTCTTGCAAGTGTAACCTGCGGTTTAGGAGCGGGCTGTTCGCAGTTGGTCTGAGGCTACTTGGGCCACAATGGCGAGATCAACACCATCCAGGCTCCCGGGTGAAGATCTGGGGTTAGGGTTTAGTGTCAGAAGCGTTCCGCGGTATAGACGGTTGTATAGACGGATGATTAATTGGACCGCGGTCTTGGGGCAGGTGTTAGCTGCTGCTGCTGCTGCACTGTAATGGTGGGGCTGCCAGTATTGATAGCTTCATCCTCCCTAAACCCTGCACCCTACTCCCTAAACCTCACCCATGCCTCCAAAGCCTCGCTGTGCCGGTGCGAACAGGGCAACTACAACTGGACGCATGCGAGATCGGGATCTTTCGAGCATCCCAACTTTGGCTATCGCATGAGGGAGGCGGGGCACTGTGGGAGCATCTGGCTTCTGGTTGCTCGGACCTTCCCTGAACCACAAAGTCACAAAGACCCCAGAGTCTAAACCGTAAGCCTTAGGGCCAAAACGCCAACTCCGTAATCCGCAAGAGCCTGCCTGATATGCAGGTGCTGCCACCGTGCCGTGCAGAAAACTCGGACTCCGGCAACATGGACTGCTTTTCGGCCGTTGCATCGTTGTTTGTTTTGTGTAATTATTATGAGTACGCACTGTTCGATAGTTTTATATTGTTATCATTACCGTGAGACCCAAGCGACATCGCATGGGCATACCTTGGAAAATTTGGGTGAAGGCAAGTCCCCACGAAGGTTTGTGATGTTCTCGTTTACAGTTTAGGCATGCATGTCCATGGGGCTTGTTAGGCCTGGAGCCAGGACAGTGTGCCGTGCATGTGGAGATCACAGGTGCAAGGGCTGCATTCTGTGCCCCATTCGCTTCTGCAGTCATACCTGCATAAGGCCTGTCATTTCAACCAGCATAACAGTGCATGGTGCTGGTCGGTGCAGTGGACGGGGTGGTTGCAGTTTGGCGGGCGATGGTGGTGGTGCTGATGCTGCTGATGCCCATGCCTGATTCCAAACCCTAAATCCCAAGCCCTAAACCGTGAACTCAAACGCAGCTGGTGCCGGAACTAGCTCAATCAAACCTCCAGCAATCCTACAGGCATCACTGGCCTGCCCACATGTCTCGAGAAGCCTTAGATCGACACACCTTCAACCCGATACTGAACCCAAAGCCCTCAACCTAAACTCTAAATCCCAAACCCTACCACCCAAACCCTAAACCCCTAAATCCTACTACCGAAACCCTAAACCCCTAAACCCTACCACCCAAACCCTAAACCTCTAAACCCCCACTACACCCAGAGACCAGCATGCAAGGTTACCTGGAGCTGATCCTCCGCTGTAACCGTGAGCTTCCAGAGGCGCTAATGATGATGATTCCGGAGGCCTACAAGGCCTGAGTTTATAAGGGGTTTAGGGTTTTAGGGTTTGGGGTTTGGGGGTTTAGGGTTTAGGTTTTATGGGTTTAGGGTTTAGGGTTTAGGGTTAAGGGTTTAGAGTTTAGGGTTACGGGTTTAGGGTCCAGCATGGCTGCCGGCATACACCAACAGTCCGAGCTAAAAAAGGGTTTAGAGTTTAGGGTTAAGAGGTGTTCTTCTCGTAACTGCTGGAGCGTATCGATGGCCATTAAGCAACAACGTCGTGAGCAACGTCAGGTGGCAAGGGAATAAGCAGCTATGTGAGGATTTCTGTTTGTCAGATTGAAGCGAGCAAATTTCAAGCTGTACTCAGAAGTGGAAAGTGTGGTGATAAATATCCGCACATGTCCCCTGGGCATGGCTGCCAGCATACACTTCAAGTCCGTGCTTAAAGGGTTAAGGGGTGCTTCGTGCAAGTTTTTCTTCAAGGATAGCCATAAACGGTAGTACTTGATTTAGGGTTCCTTGAAGCTTTACTTTAGAGGATCATGAACGTTACTGTAAACAAAATCGTTAAGACTTCCTTCAAGGGATCCGTTGACGGATTTTATTTAGCTATACTCTCTGAAGGATTCGGGAAAGAGTGCCACATCATGTGCTTGGGGGTTGGAAGTCCAGGTTTTGGTTTTGGGGGTTCGTTAAGGGCACGAATTGTGCGGGTTCCAACCCAGACCCTGGCCGCAAGACTTGTTGACTACTATGGAGCCTAAATGCTTACACTTGGGTTTTGGGCCCATTATACTCTGATTACTTATAATAAGGAACCCCGAAAACAGTATAGTAGGTAAACATTAGGAGACTGCTATTTGGGGTAGTGTATTAGGGTACCCTTTTTTCGGAAACAGTCATACCCATCCTCATTGACGCATCTCCCGGGTCCCATTGACCCGAGGTCGAGCCCTTTGCACCCATGAACTCGCGAACTTACAATTTTCAAGGCCCTAAACCCTTGTCTTGGAGCTGTGCACATGTACCCGCACGTGTAGTGGAGATACTTTGGACCAAACCCCAAATCCTAAACCCGAAGCCATAAACCCTACACCCTAAACCCCAAAGCCTAAACCGGTTCGGAATCAAGCATCTGAACAAGGCAGCCGACGAGAAGTCCAGCAAAAAGGTCATGGAGTTCTACGAGCATCCGATCGTAAAAGGTTGTCAGGTTTGGACATTCGGTTGTGGTTGTTGGATTATGGCTTCTTTCCTAGGGATCTCTGCAATGGGTTTTTTTCCTTACTTCCATGGGGCCTGGCATAGAATGTGAATAGGGATATTCGGACCCTGAACTATAAACTTTAAGCTTTAAAAGTTATGTTTGTGGGTCATGGTACAAAGGCTCTCAGCCGGGAAGCCCAGGTACTGGGGAGCCTTGCAGGAAGCCTGGGATGGCCCAGCCCTGGTTGCCTTCTGCGACGGAGAGTACATGGGTGCTTGGGCGGTGGATGTTGGGGTGCTGAGTTGGGAAAGTGGACTAAGTTCTGACTAGGTTCTAGTTGTTCTTCCGTAGCGTGCCGCGAATCGCGGTTTCTGCAGCCCAGGTGTCACGGGCGAGGGCTTAGATTAAGAGACCTAGCACTCCAGGATTCAGACGCAACCCTGCACAAAGCTCATCGAAGCCTTACCATGAACTTTCCGACATGTTCTGGCATTCTTGGTGCTTTTCCTTCTGACACTCCCTGGCCCTCCAACTAAACCCATCGATGGGAGACTTTTTGGGAGGTTGGGCCTAGCAGTTGCTGGAGGGGGAGCAAGCAGAAGGCCCTAAACCCTAAACCCCTAAACACCCAAAACCCAAATCCCTAAACCCTAAACCCCTAAACCCTAAAAGGATCCGCACAAACCCCCACAGACCGGAGCAGCCTCAACTCTCAAGTCCTAGCGCAGCAAAGGAGCTCTGAAGCCTAAGCCCCAGACTTCCAAACCCCACATCCGCAAAACCCACACCCTCGTTCTACAAGCCTATATGCCGCAGATATCGTCAGTTGCTTCGGCTCCTCTTGCAGAGAGTATCCGCAAGCAGAAGAGGAGAATGCCGATGCTTGAAACGATAAGCAGAGCCAGTAGTGAATAACATGCCGCCACGAGTAGGGTAGTGAATGCGTGATGATGAGAATCAGGGCACCCGGGAGGTGCACAGACCGAAGTCGAGCCCTGTTAAATTCCGAAGCTGAACATGATCACCTCCGCTGAAGACATAGGTTTCACCTCGAACCGACTATGCACCAAGAACCATACTTGGCTTTTCGGAAAGTAGGCGTCGAAACCCCTACTTGGAGTTCATTGGTACTTACAAGTGGGGTTTAAAAGTATATAGGGTAGCTATAGTTATAAGCCATGCAGGGAGACTTATAACCCTACTTATAGCCACCCAGAACTCCAAGTACAGCAACAGCCGTTGAGGTGCCACCTTGGACCGCAATGGCCTCAGGCCTGCGCGGTACTTCCAGCTCAACGCACCATGCCCTTGATCAAAGGGCTGAATGGTGCAATATAGGGTATGGAACAACTACTAATCGGGTCACCTTATGGTTTTTACTGACAGGGTTGTAGGGTTTTTCTACGCCTTCCAGAGGGTTTGTATGCGTCTTTACAAGGGTCGGAAGAATTTCCGTATGCAAGTGCAACTTTTTGAGAGGCACCCTGCATGTCCTGAAGCCTGAACTCAAAGCCGAGTGCTCTAAAGACTCACCACCTCTTGTCTAGGGCTGAAGAAAAAGGGCAGTGCAGCAAATGATCAGGATTGAGGATCCGAAGCTAAGATAATTTCGATCGAAAGACGTGGTCGCTGTTGTGTGGAGAGGCTCCGCATGGTGTGTTTTGAGCGAGTGGATCTGTGCAGTTCACTTGAGGTTTACGGCCCTGGGTGCAACGTCTGAAAAGGGTAGCTATAATCCCAATCAAGGTACTTATAACCTTACTTACTAAGTCCCATGATCCTCCAAGTAGACCCTTAACCCTAAACCCCCTAGATCCCTTTTAAGGAACCCCTATAGATCCCTTTAAGGAGCCCGTTTCAGGAATCTTACTAAGTCCCATGATCCTCCAAGTAAGCCGCCGAGGACGGGACCTGTGTGGTTAGTTCCGAGACCGGGATCCTGGACAGCGAGCTTTTTCCAGCAGCAGCCCAGCTGAACACCAGGGGGTTTAGGGTTTAGGGTTGAGGGTTTAGGGTTGAGGGTTTAGGGTTTCGGGTTTAGGGTTTCGGGTTTCGGGTTGAGGGTTTAGGGTTTAGGGTCTTGGACACTGTAGACCCTAGTCACAGAACCTTACAAACCCTTGCTAAAAGGCTGGTGGCCCCCTGAAAGAAACCCTTACGAAACTTTGTGGAAACCCTCGTGAGTGAAACTACCATGGAGCCTTTGAAACTTGTAGAACCCTTTTGCAACCCTTCTGGATTCTTTTTGAGGCTCTTATGGAGCCCTTATGCAGACCTTTATGGCCGCCCGTGTGAAACCCTTGTAAACCCTAAAGCCCTAAACCCCTAAAGCCCTAAATCCCCTAAACCCTAAACCCCGAAACCCTAAACCCTACCCTAAAACCCTAAACCCCTAAACCTTCCGGAACCCAGGCCATGTTCAAGTCAAAAGGCCGACTCGGTCCCGGTGCGATGGTGGCGATTGACCTCCACACTGGCCGCTGCTTGAAGTTTAGGGGTTTGGGGGTTTGAGGTTTAGGGTTTAGGGGTCCAGAGGTTGTCCTTCTTAGGGTGTAGGGTTTAGGGTTTAGTCGTTTAGGGAGGTCTCCAGAACTTAGGGATCGAGCGATTTGAGAGTGTAGGACTTGTGGGATAGGTTTGGGGGCTTTGAGTGTGGCGTTTGAGGTTTCAGGGCTTTGGCTTCGCCATTGAGTGGTGTACCCTTAGCACTTCATAAGCCCGCGACGCAAACAGCATGAGTTGTTGGAATCTGTTGGATGCCCCACGCCCAGGCGAGCTCATAGAGAATGACGAGATCAAGAAGAAGCGACTTGGCTTTCTTTACCTTCGGGTACAAAAGTAGTGAAGTAGTTACTACTGCTACAAGCTGTAATTGAATGAGTGCTGCAGCACTAGCAGTTGTGTAGGCAAGCTAGCTGGTGGTGCCAGCAGTAGCAGAAACACAAACCTTGCGAGTCTTGATATCTAGAAACCACGCTGGTGCTGGCACCACCGTGCTAGCTGCTAGCCAGCATCAAGGCGCACTCATTGCCAGAATCCTCCTCCTCCTCCTCCTCCTCCTCCTCCTCCTCCCTGTCATCGCCATACCTATCAAGCCTGTAAGTCTGATGCCCAGTTCTAGATACTGGATGCTACGTCCTAGCTGATATAAGAACGAGTCATCACACCCAGATGATGATGAGGGTGGTGTGTAGTACTGGTGAGGATGATGCTGATTGTGGTGACATGGCGGGCTTTGATTCCTCCGAGCGTCCACAGTCTGGCGCCAAGCCCTGCAGTCAAACGAAGACGCTACGGTGGCAGCGTTTTTAAATGGGAGGTTTGGTCAAGCGGCCCTAGCAGCTAGCAAGACAAGAGGCCAACAACTTCTGTCAGCCATGCACCCAGGATGGCAGCCAAGAAGCCTTATGGCGACTGGAACAAGGCTTGGCTTTTCTTTTTTGCACCCCCGAAGCATGGAAGCCCAGAGATTGGCTGTATCGTGGGAAAAGCCCCCAAGAGGAACAGTCGCTGCATGTGACCCGACGGAGACTTCTGTCGTGTCACAAACAGAAGAAGCCTAGCCCCCCGTGTGGCCAGTCAAGGCTTGTCCTTCTTGGTGAGACCTCCTCAGCCCTGAGTCATGGTATATTGTGTATCAAGAATTTGAAGCCCGACACGGAATTTTACATGGGGCTTCTTTGCTTGCAGCCGCTGCTTCTTTCGATATCGTTTCCGTGGGGACAGTACGAAGCATTGTAGGCCTCTTTTGTCCAGGGCTGCCAGGCATCACCGCCTAGTCTCTTTCAGACATCCTGCCTGAAATGCGTCTAAATCCTGAGCCGGCCCTTCTTTAATGACCCAAGCGCTGAACCCATCGAAGCCCCTAAAGCTCAACGTCTTGCCCAAATCCAATCCTAACCACCTTTACATCCGAAACTCTTTCTCCAACTTAATCCCCCCAAGGCCTAAACCCTCCGACTCCCCTGCAGACCCTAGAACCTCCAAGCCCTAGTGTCCGAGTGTGAGCGGCGAAATCCTAAAAGCCCCAAACGCTAAACCCCTATAATTACCCTTAAACCCTGCACCAAAAAACCCTCCTACAAGCTTTAAAGCAGGTCTTTCGCGAAGAAATGGGCCGAGAGCCCTTCCTCTCCGCGAACCACGACCTTGCCGTGCCAAGGGCACGGGCCTTGTTGGAAGTTAGGGTGTGAGGGGTTGTTTGTGGGGTTAAGGCTTTATGGGTTTAGGTTTTTAGGGTTGGGATTTGGGGATTTTATGGGTTAAGGTTCCGGGTTTAAAGTTTCTGGTGTGGTGGTTTAGAGTTTAAAGGTTTATGGTTTAGAGTTTATAGTTTAGGGTTTAGGGTTTAGGGTCTCGCTCGGACCGGGCTGCTGGACAACGAGGCCTGCTGTAAAAGGGTAGGGTTTAGGGTTTAGGGTGTGGTGGCATGCAGACTGTCCGAGATGATTAGAGGGCCAGGGCTCCACCCACTCAGGCCCTAAATGCGCGAGTGCCTGCTGGCTCTTGTGACTTACTTACCTTTGGTTAGTAGTGAATGGAAGAATGCTAGTACCAGTAGGTCTAATAAGTACCCCATTCCTCCATTCCCTACTAACCAAAGGTAAGCCTAGTGTAGCCCTAGGCGATAGAGCAGAACCTGATGACCATGCAGTTTGACATGGGCTACACCATCGAGGTGCTATGGGCGAGTTTGGATCTAAGCGAGCCTGCGGACGGGTTATCGCTGTAGCATGGTGAGTAGTGTTACGATAGTGGAGGTCATTGTCATGGTAGTTTTGCGTGACGTGAGCCGTTTGTGGCTAGTGTGATGAATATGAAGCTTCATAATTGGCATTCCCACAGCTGCTTCGAGGCTGTTCGACTGTGAGGGTGTCTCATCTGGCTGACTTGCTTCTGTTGGCTGTTTTGCTTGCGCCCTGCGGTTTATAGTTCAAGGTATCATACCTTAAAATATGGTAGCTCAAAGTAAAGCCCCTAACAAGAACCCAGCAGACCGGAGGATGTCGAGATGGTGGTGGAGGCCATGGCGCAAACAGGAAAAGAGCCCACCTTTTGCATGGGAAACGAGCCTTGGCTGCAGAAACCCTTTTGCCCCTGAGGGTTCAGGGTTTTGGGGCTTAGGGTTTTAGGGTTTTGGGGTTTTGGGTTTTAGTAGGGGTTTAGGGTTTTAGGGTCTGCCTCCCGAGGCCCTAATCTAGGGGCCTTAATAATTGCCTATCCTATTTTGGGGGCTCGTTGTTGGAATTGTAGTATAATGCACCCCCAAAAGCTGTTCTAATTAGTAAAGCCCCCACTTCCAGCCTTCGCGAAGCCAGCGCGGGATGTCTGGTAGGTACAGTACAACTCTGGCAATGGTTGTTATTCCTTGACGCCCGTTCAAACGTGGCGAGTGAGGCCACCTGAACAAGTCTGGATCCCAGGCATGCAGCCCTAATGTAGGAAGCTGATTAAGAAACCCTGGGCCTATAACCCCGAAATAGTAGGATTCATAAAAGGAATCCTAATAAAGGCCCAAGGTTTCTTAATCAGGTTCCTACATTAACATAGATAGATAGACTTAAGAAACACTGGGGCCTTGTGATCTCCTGCAGCCCTGAAATCTACTGATCCGGCGTTTGGATGCGAAGCTGACCGAGGATAAGCCGCTGGCGGTGGTGTCTGACAGAGCCAGGAGCCCAGGATGTGAAGCTTCCTCATGCGGTTGAGTAAATGTAGTGAAATCACATCAGCATCCTAGTCAGTTTTAGCTACTCCTCTTCGGTGGTTGCTTTAGGAAGGTCGCTAGAGCCCTTGCGAGGTTTTGAGGCCCCTGTAGAGCCCGGGGCTGTTGGCGAGATTTTTGGTTCCGGCTTTCCTGTGCTGCAAGCGTGACCCAGGCCCATGTCCTCTACGACTACTTCACCCAGCGCTTCGCACAGGCTTGGAGTGGGACTGGGTTGTTTTGATGTCTACTTGGAGGTTCATGGGTAGATATAAGTAGGGGTAACTATACTTATAACCCATATTAAGGGACTTATAGGGTTATAAGTAGGGTAACTATACTTATAACTTATAACCCATATTAAGGGACTTACGACCCCACTTATAACTACCCATGAACCTCCAAGTACTGACGACGAATCCGAAGGAGTCGGTATAAAGCCGCGAGAGAGGTCCCTCGTTCCCAAAGGGGAGGCTCTGAGGTTGTCGTGGGCTTTTGTTCAGGGAAAAACTAACCAATGGTTTTGGGTTTTTTTGGCTCTTTAGCTCCTTATTAAGTAGGGATTATCGTCACCCCTGGCTCCTTAGCTCCTCCAATATGAATGGTTAGGAAATGCGCAAGGTCACCAACCCGGCCATCGACCCATACCGCGAGTCGCTCGTGATGTCGACGGATGTTTACCTGGGCCGACAAGGTCAGATTCGCGTGAGAATGCCGCACCTTTACCGGCTTTTGTTTGCCAGGCAACCTAATGGCAGAGACGCCGACCTATTTCCAGAACAAGGCCAACAACCGATTGGTAAAGGCCGGCACAGTCGGTTTCGGCGTAGACCCAAAGCCAGTGAGCCACAATCCTTTCTCAAGCTCTTCCACGGATGAGGTGGACTCGCCGTTCCTGAATGAAAGACAGTTGTATGTGGGGCACCGAGCATTTTGAGGCAGCAGACGGTGACAGAGAAGTCTCGAGAGCAAGTTGGCATGCGGTTTGCAATTCCTCTTGCGCGTTGCATGATTTCCTAGTGCCGCGTAATCTATCGTGCTACATACAACTTGACAATGGCACCGGACGCAGTGACACAGAACGACGATGCGTAGCATGCCATGGCGACTGCATGCAACGACGCGCGAGACTAAGACCGTGCCAAACCTCTGTGAAATCGGCATACTCGTACATGTTGACTGCCTCATTCATGCTTGTGCAACATCTAGTACACAAGTATGCCTGCAGAGTACGGCTGCGCCAATGCCGGGTGAACCTGAGCCAGCAATCACAGCGTGGTACCATCTCCTTCGCATGCCAGATGACGGCAGCGAAGATGGGTAGACGACGACGCCTGTCATCATAACTGCTGTGGCCGCCGACACGACGACACGACTGTTTAGCTTCGGTCGCGCAGGGGAAAGCCAATTGTAGTTCTTGTTTGCGTATGGGAACTGGCTTGTCCCGATAAGCCCAAAACCCTGAACCCTGAAAGCTTAAAGCCCTAAACCGTGAACCCTAAGAGCTTAAAGCTCTAAACCCTGAACCCTCAAAGCTTGAAGCCCTAAACCCTGAACCCCAAAAGCTTAAAGCCCTAAACCCTGAACCCTAAAAGCTTACATCCCTAAATCCTGAACCCGCACTATGTGGAGCCTTGCCTGCCTCGTGCGACTGTGAATATGGGAGTTTCCGAAAGGGTACCTTATTTCGGGGTCCTTGTAATAAGGATCCTACTATTTAGGGTACTATACTAGGGTCCCGTATGTACGGAAACTCCCATATCGAAAACTCCACGTGAACACCCAGGGCATCAAGAACAGCGGTCTGCTGACTGTGCAGCTCAGCACCCGCTACGACTTCGAACGTGGCCCGGGTGCCCTCGAGAAGGCGCTGACCCGGGAGTTACTTTTGGTTTCATGGGTAGTTGTAAGTTAAAACCGGTGTTTGTACGTAGGGAAGCTATAGTTATAAACCATGTTAGGAGACAAACCATATTAAGGGCCGATGACGGCAACTATATAAGTAGACATGAAGCTCCAAGTAGGGTTTAGGCTGCAGAACGGGGGTACCTGATTTGGTTAGGGTACTTGTAATGTGTATCCTGCGATTTCGGCTTCTATGTCATGGTTTCAGCCCTAATTACGGGGGGGGGGGGGGTACTGCATTCTTTTTCATATCCTTCTTGAGGGGTCCTTGCAATGACGATCCTAGAGGCCCAAACCCAGGCCTTGGGTGAACCCTGAACTTGGGAGAAGCGGTTTCCAGTTTCCAAAAACTTGTTGGCTTTGCCGAAGCCGTCAACACCCTGTAGTGGCCATCAGAAGCTTTTGCCACCCTAAACCATAAACCCTAAGTCCTAAACCCAAAACCCTAAACCCAGCCTATTAGCCCATGCAGCATGGTCGTGTGTAAGAGCTCTGCGGCCGCATCAAGACATCTTCCCACTTGCACAGTACCCGGAGCAGCCAGTCTGAAACCTGTCAACCCTAAACCCTATATCCTAAAGCCCAAAACCCGAAACCCTAAACCCTAAACCGTGGGGACTGTTGGCCATTCGGACATTTACTCGAGTCCTGCGACAGGCGTTGTCGGACTTGTGCTACGAGGCCTCCAATGCCATTCGAAACGGAGCCGAGTTGATCATCCTCTCCGACGTGCCGCGCAACTCTGCCCCCTGGTTACAGGGTGAGAGTCAATTAGGAACAACCATGCCCTTTAACTATATACAGTCCATGCACAAGGCCTCTATAATGCCAAAGCTCCATTGTAACTAGCAAGGGCCCCACGTTCCTTCTTTGGTGCACACCCCTTCTTCGGATCCTCTTCGCTTGTTTCCACCACACTGCCGAGTCGAGGATTTCATGTCCTTCGATGTCAGCGACCCGGATATCGAGCTTGAGAGGTCCATGTTAGCCATCCCACCACTGCTGGCCGTCGGAGCGGTTCACCATTACCTGATCCTGGGTCCTTGTTTAATGGGCTCCTTGTTTTTTCCGCCCCCATGGCCCCATGGTTATTTTTGACCTTGATCCTGCCTCAGATGACTTTTTGGAATTCGGGTTGAGGATTAGGCGTTGAGCGTTTAGAGCCTAGACAAGAAGCAACACAAGTGGGTATAGTATGTGATCATATGCTTTCTTTGTGATCTCATGAACCCAGGATCCAACAGGGGCTCCGTACTCAGGCATCCCTGGTCGTCAGCACGGGGCAGTGTTGGAGCACACACCACTTTGCCTGCCTCATTGGCTACGGCGCTTCCGCCGTCTGCCCCTACCTGGCGCTGGCACATATCCGTCGCTGGCATTCCACAGACAAGGGTGCTGCAAAGGCCGATGGCCAGACTGTGGAAGAGGTGCAGGCCAACTACAAGCGCGCCATCAATGCTGGGCTCAAGAAGATCATGTCTAAGATGGGCATCTCCGTGTTGGAGTCTTATCGGGGCGCTCAAATCTTCCAATGCATCGGGCTGGAGGAGAAGGTGGTCGAAAGGGCCTTTACAGGCACACCCTGCACAGCTCCCGCCCTGTCCTTCACAGATATCGCCAACGAGTCCATGATGTTCCACCGCAGGGCCTTCCCGGAGCTAGAGGAGACTGCGGAGAAGCTGGAGTTTGCGGGGTGGTACCGCTACATCAAAAACAAAGGCGAGTTTCACATGAACAATCCAGACATGGCCCGCGCCTTGCATCGGGCTGTTAGGAACAAGGAGCCTTTGGCCTACGAGGAGCACCTAGGTTTCCCTGAAGTATCCTTATGCCTTTTTCGGGTTCTCCTTGTTGAAGCACTTAAGCCCTAAGACCTGGACCTTGGGGACAGTCAGGTATCGGCGTCAGATCATGGATGGCCGGCCGGTTACCGCCATCCGAGACCTGCTGGATTTCTCGTCAGATCGCCAGCCGGTGCCACTGGTAGAAGTGGAGGTGGGTGTGCTTAAGGTTACTCTCTTACCATAGTTCGATACTGGTTTCTACAAGGGTTCCAGCGTGCCCTTACGAGTTTCGATAAGGAGATAAGGATTCCTTCAAAGCTGTCTAGAATAAAGGGATCTATAGTCCATGAGGCTCAGTAACTTCGTATTTATCTTGGGTTTATGATTGTAACCCTAAGAGCAGCCCTTATAGTAACTCTTATAGAAGCTATAGTAATCCTTGCAGTGACCCTTGCAACAGTGATAGCCGTGCTGGGTTCCATCTCAGAAAGATAAGCCAAGCAAGCTGAAGAAAAGGCCTGGCTGGGTTTTTCACGGCCAACTCTTTCATCTAGGCGTAGGTGGGGTTTGAGAACTTTTGCCGTCTAGGAATGGAGCCCTTCTTCTCAGTTTTGGCTCTCAGGTTTAGGATCGGGTTTCGGATTCAACTGTCTACTGATCTTGGGTGTCAAAGAGACCTGGGAGGATGCCCTCTCGATCTGCAACCGCTTCGTCACCGGTGGAATGTCTTTGGGCGCTCTGTCGCGGGAGGCGCACGAGGTCATCGCCTTGGGCATGAACCGGATCGGAGGCATGAGCAACAGTGGCGAAGGCGGCGAGGATCCTGTGCGATTTCATCCGATCGAGGACTGGCTTCATTCCTACATTATTTTGGTATAGTCTGCTTACTCAACATCCTATTCATACCAGCCTAATTATCTATTCCACAAGCATAGCCTGGAACTTGTGGGAGGACGTAGACGAAGAAGGCAATTCGGCAACCTTCTCTCACCTCAGCGGTCGTCATCTCAGAGCAGAAGCACGCATCCTTGGACCAGCATCCCATTTCGCGTCGCGACTGAGGCTTGAAAAATGGGGATTCTGCGACATCCGCGACGAAGCAGGCATCTTTCTCCGTATGGACCGATAAGCGCAATTACATTTTTCCCTACTCCGTTCTGGAGACCACTTGCCTGAACCTGCAGCTGTTGGTAGCCTCTCCCCTCGTGGTTCTTCTTTCCTAAGATCCTAAAGCAAGAAGGAGCCCTCAACCCTAAACCCTAAACCCTGAATCCTAAACCCTAGGCTGCGTCTTAGTTCCTCACCGTGCTGAGACATCATCACTGCAGCAGCTAAACACCTGTGAGACTGAGGGCCGACACTTCAAAAGCAATACAAAGAGTTTAGGGGCCTGAATGATTACCTATCCTATTTCGGGGATTCCTTATCATACTTAGAAGCATAATATACACCAAAACCCTATAGAAATTATTAATAAGGCCCCCATATTAGTAAGAATAGTAGCTTCAATCGCCTGGAAGCCTTTACCCTAAGCTCGTGTTTCCAAAATCCGAAGCCTGCCTTTGACATTCCCTGGGTTCGAGGAAGGGGCCTGCATTAGAAGCTGCCCCGACCCTGTAATAGTGACTATGAGGATTATATTAGGACCCTATTATATTCCTATTATACCCCTATTGCAGGGTGGGGGCAGCGTCTAAGCCTTACATAATTACAAGCACCTCATCATTATTCAAGGAGTAGTATAAAATACCCATAACCCTAGTCTACTGATTACGGGACCCTATATGGGTAGTTGTCAAAATCAGGGTCCTTCTTTGGGTACCCTACATATTAGGTGCCGCATTATTTTAGGGACCCAAAAACGGACCATCATTTTGAACCCTAAACCCTAAACCCTAACCCCTAAACCCCTAAACCCCTAAACCCTAAACCTTAAACCCTAAGCCCATACAAGGTGGCCTCGGGTCGCTTCGGAGTCACTGCGGCCTACTTGCGCAGTGCTGCTCTCAGTCTGCTGCAGGCGGTAGCCAGGTATGAATATGTGGGTGTATATACACATATAGGTTATATAAAAACATATATATATATATATGTTTATGCAAATGTATATGAAAATAATACTATACCGCTATATATATATATACACATACGTGCATACTTGTTTAGTTATCTTTAAGCATCTATGCTGCATCCATGGTGTGTGTGTGTGTTTGTGCCTGAGTTCATGTGTGATAAGACATGCATGTGCGCATGACGATGTATACTCATGTACTAGCTGTACGAGGCGAGACGAAGTTGATGTCTGAATTCGAGTGTTTCCATACCATACGATGGCTGGGACAAGATAGTGCGCGCCAAGATCCCACATTTCGGAGGAGATAGCCTCGCACCGTTTTCGGACTAAGATCAAGCCCAGAACCATAAACCCTAAACCTTAAGGCCCTGCGGTACGTACTATATTAGGGTCCCCTATTTTCGGAAACTCCCATATAGCAAGTTACCAGGGACGGGGCTGTCGGGCTACTGAAAGCTGAGGTGCGAAGCAGCTGGAGATCAAGCAGCTTAGAATGCAGCGTGCAGAGACTTCGGATTTCGAGAGATGTGTAGCAATTTCTACCGGTGAGCGCCCACGTGAAGACTTACGACTTACGTAAAGCAAACAAGTGTGTCGGGAGTATGTCAGCAGGGAACAAAGGCAGGCAGTAGCATGTAAGCATGGTGTGATGATGTGCAATTGTTAAAGCTCCGTTTCGTCCGCCTTGGCCCGGCAGATCCGGCAGCAGGCGACACTCAAATCTTGACGTGCTGGGGATTGTTCTGCTGCTCAAAGGTCCCAGGACAGGCGGAAGAAGCTGCAAGAACGGAGAAAGCCCCGTGGGGCTCACCGTGAGGTCGTTGTCAATGTCATCTGTGATTTTCTAAGAGACAACTCAACCCAACCTCAACAACCCAAGCTAAGACTGTATGCTTTGCATAGGATGGTAAAAAATGCCACAGAATCGCATACCGCATACCCCAAATCGAAAACCGAGGGCCAAACTGCTTCCTAAAGCTTGCGCAGCCCCAGGATTGCACAAGGCGCCAAGCCAGGCGAAGGGGGGCAACTCCCCGGCCCCAAGGCGGGCACGTTGTGTCAGCTAGGCAGGTGGCAGTATGCCCTAGACCCCCAAAAGCTTCCAAAGCCTTGTACCTTGACTCCCGCCAGGGCTCCTTCCTATCCTCATAGGTCGCCTAGAGAACATGGAGGTAAGCCTTTCCGCGCCCTGTAGCCACGAGCCTTTAGCACCAAACCACAGGCCCTTGTGCCGTCAAGTCCGTCACAGAACAACCCACAAAAGCTGAAACCATAAGGCCTAAAAGCCGCAGGCCTGGCTCCAAGAAGGAACATGTCTCAACCTTTCGATGTTTCAACTCCATCGAACGCCCTGCCTCCCCCTCCCCGAAAGAGATGAAGCCTTAGGCCTCAGCCAAGAAAGGAAAAGAATAATAATCACAATAAGCCGAAGAACGATAGCAATGCGAGTTGTAGCAACAAACAAGCAAACATAACCACAGTACTGTTGATGGACAAAATCCTGCATGACCCTAAGGACTCGAAGCTATGGGAACTATGGTATATTCCTTATAATGGGTAATGCAGGATTTTGTCCATCAGCAGTACCAAGAATGTTACGCCTATCGAGAGCCTTCCGGCAGCCCCTCATCCCTAAGGTTCCTAGGCAGTCCTAACACCAAAGCTGTCTAAATCCGAAATATTACTGGGCTTTGGGGTCCCATACTTTAATACTTTTTGGCGACCTTTTACTTAAAGGGAACCACCTATAGTCTCCATTGTAGTTCCTTTTTGGGGTTACCTTATAGGACCCCAATTATATATTTGGTTAAACCAACAAAAAGGAACTACAATGGAGACTATAGGCAATTATGAGAAAAAGTCTATACGTTTTTCTCCCTGGTTACTTCAATGCCCAGATTAATAACCCCTGCACCACAAGCCCCGGCTGCTCTTGGGGTTTCTGAAGGTGGACGAATACATCGCCAGACTCCGCAACAGCGCCCCTCACTCCAGAATCTAGAGTGGCAAGGTTTATGTGTGTGTTCAGGATGTTTCGGGGTCTAGCTTCAGGATTGCGGGTTTAGGATCTAGCAGTTTAGTTTCGGTTGATCCTTGGAATCCTTGGGCTCCGAATAGATAAATGGTGCCTCTCACAACAGGTGTTAAGGTTTACAGATTTGGGCTTAGGCTAGAATCGTTGATGACAGAAAGCTGTCATGATCCTCATCCGCAGTCTAATCCTCATCCTGATCCTCATTATTATGAGCATCATCGCCATTCCACCATTACGACCACTACCCCCACCATCGTCAGTAGGAACACAATCGTCGCAAGTCAGCCACGGAAGTAACAACGACAGCAGCAGCAGTGGGTGACAGTGTTGGGCAGCCCGCCACTTTCGCCACATAGGCAAGTGCGCATCCTGGCTGATGTCAGGTTCCAGGCGTAGAGTTGATCTCGCCTCCGCCACATCACGACATCTACTCCATCGAGGATTGGTGCTCTCTCGAGACGTGTGCCTCCTCTTGTCACCACATGTCGATTCTGTTCTGGGGATCCAAAGCCGCATACTCTGGGGCTTCAAAGAGAGTGCTGATGGGTTGCACCAAAATCGCCTGATGGGCAGAGATTGTTGATTTCGTTCCTTCTAGGTGTAGCAACCGTCGCACCAACAACGACAGCCGTTTCGACTAGACTCAACTAGACACGGTAAGAGTCCATAAAGCAACGATACTCGTGCTAGCCGTGTTCACACCAGAGCAATGGAAGCTCAAGCAATCATGGAATCCAACCCGAAACACAGAGCGCAGTCACTGCAGTTGCATGAAGATTTGGGGTTTTAGAGTTAGCGGATACCAGGTCCATTTTCTAACCATGCCACCCCCCCTAGGCCCTAGGCCACCCGAAGACCTAAAGCCATAACAACCTATACATTCCTCTTAAGGATTGAAGCTATGGGGTTTCCAACTTTTGGGCTGCTACTGTGGGGCTGTAGGGTAAACCTGAACATGATACGGTTGAGTGTGATCCCCGGTAGAGAACCCTGGATAAAGAACCCTACTTAGAGGATCATAGGACTTAGCAAGTAGGGTTATAAGTAAGCTAACTATAGTTATCTACTTATAACCCCAATTAAGGTACCTATAACCCTACTTACTAAGTCCCATGATCCTCCAAGTATTGAACCTATTGCGCGTGTCGCGTCTCAGCCAAGTGTCTAGAGAAACCTTTGAGAGGATTTGGCCCAGCTGATCTTCGACTTGCATCAGGTTGGGCTGAGGGCAGAAGCTGCAGCGTTCTGGGGTTGAGGGGTGTAGGGTTCACTTAGGACTTGGTTGAGGGTTGAGGGTGAAGGCTATTCGTTTAGATTGTGATCAGGTTTGGGTTTGGCCCGACGCAGCTCGGCAAGGTAGTGGGACTTTTGCTTAGCTACATGAATGCTTCATGCGCTTGATCGCCGTTTCCTTCCCCGACAAAAACTGAGACGTTTCGAGATACCCTGCAAAGCAAAATGAGGGTTTCCCAGAGTGCAGGCCAGGCCATAACTCGAATGCAGGCTTCAAGTTGTTAGCAGCTCGACTACGACTACGACTACGACTACGACTACGACTACGACTACTACTACGACGACGACGACGACTACTACTACTACTACTACTAAATACTACTACGACGACGACGACGACTACTACTACACTACTACTACTACTACTACTACTACTACTACTACTACTACTACTACTACTACTACTACTACTACTACTACTACTACTACTACTGCTACGACTACTACTACGACCACGACGACGGCGACGACCACGACGACGACGACGACGACGACGACTACTACTACTAATCTAGTTACTATTATTTTAGCGCACGCACACAGACATACTCTCGATGTTTCGAAGCAGGTTCATGTCACAGACCAGTAAAATGCACCTCAACGTTCACTGTCGTTCTCTTGAGCCGGCATTTGCCAGGGCCGTTTCAGACACGACAACCCGGAACTCTGTTGAGTTTCAGCCCTAAGCGCTTCCTGGCCCCTCGCGCCTTTGTTTCTGCGACCTGGCAGTTCCCATGCGGCTTTCAGGTCAGTCCCGATGCGAAGGTATCCGTGACCTTGGCTGCGATGGTCTTCGCATCAACTCGATTCTGTCCCCAATCCTGGGCTGATAATTTGTGGCGATGGAAGAGCATGGTGTGTAGCCACTTAATCCAGGACCTTTAAATCTCAACGCCACGATTGACAATCATAGAAAGACGGTGTTGGTATGACTTCGACAGTGAGCAGCCTCGTGCCGGTCGGTGTCGAAATCATCTACGGACACACACCCGATGCACACTCTTGCCCAGTGTGATACCTTCCAGCACCCCTGCGTAGAAGTAGCCATCTGTTCTGTAATTCTATACTTCCCCAAAAATCACCCCTCGCTGCTACCTGACCATGATGGCCACCTCTGTGTCGAGATCCATCATTTCGTCCAGTTATTCGAGGGCGGCATCATGATGCCCAACTGGGCATATGAGGTCTTCATCAATCCATGAGCTTCAGGCTTCAGGGGTCAAACTCTGACATGTTGGGTTTAGGGTTTCTAGGTTTAGTTGGACCCTAAAAGTATTCGTGGTGTGACTTGTGTTAACATCCATGTCATTGACTTGTGCGAAAGAAGGATAGACCAGAACAGGAAAGAACTGCGATTTTACGCAGTAATCCAAACACTTGACAAGTTCTATAACGCAGACCTGTTCTTGTTCAGACGCGATCACAGCGTATCGGGGTTTCCAAGGGCGTAGCTGGTGGCTCCTGTACTGGTCACGAGTTGGTAGTTGTGACTTCTTGTGAAGATGGAGGAGTATTTGTTGTGGCTTGATGGTCATGGTTTTTGGTGGGGATTGCAGAGGCTACGAGGGGTTATGGTGGTTGTTGGTAGCCTGTGTTACTCGCAGACAAGGTGGGCAAGGTCTCTGCTAGCTCATACGCTAGCCCTCTTGCTATCACGCAACACAACTCGAATTCCAGTTCTACGGTTTACGACGTACAGCAGGCTTTTGCCTTTCCCCCCGCACCTCTGGGTGGTTGTCAAAATTAGGGTCCCTTTTGGGATCCTTATTATAATACAGCACCTAAAATTTAGGGCACCCAAAAACGGCCCCTATTTTTGACAACCACCCATATACCAAATGAAATCCAACCTCAAGCTCCCTAAACCGCAAGCCGAAAGCTCAGGTGAAGTTAGTCGCCAGTTCCGGCATCGGTACCATCGCTGCCGGCGTCGCAAAGGTGCCCTTTGTATGACAGGCGTATGGTCAGGGGTCGGAATGATTCGTAGTAGTCCCTCTAGGTCCGAAAAATGGCTTGTAAGTTGTATGCACGCACCCCGAAGCCCCATTCCGTTTTGATACGGCCTTCTTGTTTAACCGTTCAAAGTCGGATCTGGAGTCGTTTAGGGTTCCTTAACACTCCTCGATATGGCGCTACTAGAGTAAATTCAGTGACCCTCTTCTGCTTAGCGAACGACCTCTTATGTTCATTTAAAAATATCATAAAGCCTACTCTTGTGTTCACTTAACAATATCATAAAACTTACTCTTATGTTCACTTAATATCATAAAACTTATCAGGGACTTGAAAGGCGAACGCGGATGTCATCCAGATCTCGGGACATGATGGTGCGGTGCCCCAGTCAGAGGAGGCATGAGACACCACAAGGGAGTTTCCCAAACCAGGGAGCCCTAATATGGTACCCTAAATAGAGGATTCTTATTATAAGGACCACGAAATAAGGTATCATAAGGATCCTGCGCACTGAATTTGGGGTTTCTGTTGAGAGATTGGCTTAGGGTTTAGGGTTTAGGGATTAGGGTTAGACTTGAGTCCAGTGGCAAAAAGGGATTAAGGTTTAACCGTGGATTCAAAAGAGAACCCTGAGCCCTGAAGGGTAGCCCCTAGACTCCCAAACTCGATGCCCAGGATGCATCCCCGTGAAATTCTTCTGATTCCATGTGGATGTCATGTATATATATATATATATATATTTATATATACACACCGTATGTATGTATGTATGTATGTATGTATGTATGTATGTATTTATATATAGGTATATATATATATATATATATGTATATATATATATATATGTATATATATATATATATATACAGTATCTATATATGTATATATACACATATCTACAGTGTATGTATATGTGTGTGTATATATATATATATATATATATATATATATAGGAGCACGCGCTTGCCAAGGTGGAACTGGTGCCTCTCCGCTCAGTTCCTCAGAGGCATTTCCACTTCAGGTAGCCCCGCAAAGGGATTCCAAGCATAGTCCGGTTATGGCTTGGGTCTATAAAGGGTTTAGGGCTTAGGGTTTATTTAATTTTAGTTACCATTAGAAGGAAACGATATTTTTTACTACAGGGTTCTGGTGAAGGGCATGTAATAAAGGGGCCTCAATACAGTAATGTGTTGCCTATACTATTTTGGGGGTTCTGTTTTGTAATTATAGTATAAGGGCCCCCAAATCCTGTTCTACTTGTTAAGGCCCCTACAACAGGGTGGGGTAGGGGTCCCGAGTCCCGCGTGCGGCTGACTGAGGCAGCATCATGCATGCAGGAGGGCCCTGGGAGCAGGGACTGTCAGAGGTGCAGGGCGTGCTGGTTGAGAATGGCCTGCGGAACAGGGTCACCCTGCGTGTGGATGGCGGCATCAAGACTGGTTGGGACATCGTCGTGGCCGCCATGATGGGAGCTGAGGAATTCGGCTTCGGAAGCGTGGCGATGATCGCAGAGGGCTGCATCATGGCGCGAGTTTGCCACATGAATCGCTGCCCCGTGGGAGTGGCAACGCAGCGGGAAGACCTACGGAGGAAGTTCCCCGGAACGCCCGACCACGTTGCGAACTTCATGCTCTTTGTGGCCGAAGAGGTCCGAACTATCATCGCAGCTTTGGGCTACCGGTCACTGGATGAGGTCATCGGCCGCTCGGACCTCTTGAGACCACGGGCAGAGACTGGACTTTGGAGTATCACACTTTAATACTTTTTCTGGGACCTGTTCCTTAAAGGGAACCATTATGAAATAAAAGTCTATACTTTTTCCCTCTGGTTACTTCGAAGTCCAGGAGAATGCTGTTCGGACCAACGTTCCACAGCCTGCCATGGCGTCGGGGCAGAGAAAGCGACGGACCCCCAAGCAGCTGGTGTCTGGGCTCTTCTTCACCAGCTTTTTTTCGAAGCTCATAGACGTAATGGAGCGGCATATTTACAGCCGTGTATATATATATATATGTATATGTCTAGGTATAGACACGTAGTTTGTGGTTTAAGCAGATCGTAAAGCTACAATAAAGCCTGTCTTTCTTACTGTGGCAAGTTCTGCAGGATCCGTAGCGAAGTTTCAGGTACGGCCCTATAAACCCTTCATGCCCCAGAATCCCTCGACGCTGAACCCGAAACTATCCGATTCACCCCCTTGTAATGTAGTACCCTAAAAGAAACCTGAGCTCGTCAGATGAAAACCCTATAAACCACAAACACCTTGTAATCTATCAATCCCCAAGCCGTGAAAAACTCTAACTCTGAGTCCCTCGGCCCCTAAACCAGAACCCTAAGTCCTGGGTTCAAACACTACCCATACTTCCCTATACCCTATAACATTTCAGGTCTGGGTGGTTGTTAAAATTATGGTCCCTTTTTAGCTCATTACTATAATCCGGCTCTTATTATTCAGGGTACCCAAAAAGGGGGCCATAACTTTGACAACTAGTTGGAGGGGCAGGGGACTTAGTAAGTCGTTAATAGGTAGGGTTATAAATGGGAGTAAATCCATTTAGGGTACTCATAACTCTACTTATAACCTACTTACTAAGTCCCTGCCCCTCCAAGTACACAGGTGAAGACCAGCTCTATCGACCTCGGTGGCTTCTTCGCAGACGAGCAGCCGGATGAAGCCAGCCGTCTCGCCTGGGTGGGAGCGAAAAGAGGCCGGGTTTCGGAGAGAAGGGGGCTTTATAAGGGTATCTGTTAGGGAATGTATCAAAAGAACCTCCAAGGTTTCGATTAAGGGTTCTGTAAGGTTTCAGAATGGGGATCCGGGTCTTAGGGTTAAGGGCTTCATCTTAGCATTTCCATAGGGTCTAGGGTGCAAGGCGCCTTGGTCAAGGGTCCTTATGGCAAGAATCCTAGAGTATTCGGTTCAAGATTGGGGCCTTTTTCTGAAACTCCGAGGAAGCGCAGCCCATAGCAACGGGCCCGTGTTAGATGATGAGATTCTTTCTGATCCAGCAGTTTCTGCAGTCATTGAGAGCAACAGCGGCAGCGTTTGCAAAGCGATGAGCATCCAGAATGTGAACAGATCCGTTGGTGGTAGAATAGCTGGCGCCATCGCCTCCAAATACGGAGACGATGGCTTCAAGGGTGAGATTGAGCTCAGCTTCGTGGGTTCTGCAGGACAGTCCTTTGGTGTGTGGAACACCTCAGGGGTGCACCTGAGAGTCGAAGGAGATTGTAACGACTATGTGGGAAAAGGCATCAATGGAGGTACCATCGTGGCTACCAAGCCACAGGATAGCTTCTTCTCATCGGAGCAGAATGTCATTGCCGGTAACACCTGTCTCTACGGCGCCACGGGTGGTCAGGTTTTCTTGAGCGGCCGCGTGGGCGAGCGATTTGGCATACGAAATGCTGGCTGCGAAGCTGTTATAGAAGGCTCGGGCGATCACCTGGGTGAGTACATGACCAATGGGGTGATCGTTGCTCTGGGAACGGTAGGCCGCAATGTTGGTGCTGGAATGAGCGGCGGGCTGCTGTATATCTACGACCCTGAAGAGAAGGGTCTGCAACTGAATGCAGACAACCGAAGAAATGCCTTCCGCGTCACGGCCAGAGCAGGCCACGACCAGCTGAAGAGCCTGATCCAGAGGCCAGGATGCGCGGAAACCTTTAGGGCTTTGGAGACTTTACTTGGAGGATCATGGGACTTCGTAAGTCAGGTTATGTTACTAAGTCCCGTGATCCTTTAAGTAGGGTTTCGGTTTTGGATACTTTAGGCTTTCGGGCTTAGGGTCGCATAGAGGGTGTTTATAAAAACCCTCTATGCGAGCGTCTCTCCCGGCGTTCTTCGGGCTGGTCGGGCTCTCTCCCTAGGTTCCTAGGTCGCAGTAGGGAGACCCCTTAAAGGGGACCCTTCTAAACCCTACTTCTGGCTCTCTTAAAAGGGACCTTATTGAGAGGGTCTATATCCCCAAGGGACCCCCTAATCCAAACTCCCATAGGTTCCTGAGTAGTACCCCTTTTGCCCGGTCTCTTTTAGGGTTCCCTATACTGAAACCAAACAGTTGGAACAAGGGTACCCTTATTATTAGGGGCAACTCAGGAACCTAGCTCCTCACTTGCCTCACCTGGAGAACCGCAGTTCAACCCAGCCGAGCCCGGCTTCCTCCGTGCACACTTCCTCCAGCTCAGCACCAGAAGAGCAACAGCATCGATACCCTAAAGCCTAAACCCTAAACCCTAAACCCCAGCCCATTCATAACCCTAGAGGCGCTACAGGTGACGAGCTGCCCAAAGTAAGCTGGAGCAAAGCTCAAGACGGCAAGATCAAGCCACAACCAAGAGCATAGCTCCCACAGGTGGAACTTAAGGGCTTCCTTGGAGCATTCAATCTTCAACCTCGAAATCTTCAATCTTCAGTCTGAGCTCCATCACGACTCCGGGAATCCGGCAAGAATGAGCAAGACAAAATCGAAAGTCAACCAACGATGTTGTAGCAACAGCACTGGCAGCAGCAACTGCAACAGTTAGCAACGGCGCGCCACCTCTGGTGATACGAACGGTAAGGGATATCACATCAAAACATAGTACTGCCAGTAAGAAGCATTATTGCCAGTACCATGTAGTCAGTTCAATCACAGCGACCTAACCAAAATCAACTGCATGCCCCGCAACTCCGCAATGCAGGCACCACGACCTGACTGGTAGCTCGATCGCTGCGGCCATTCTTGAGGAGCCTTCAATGTGCAACTGTCGAATTCTAGGTCTTTGCCCGGCTTAGGGGTTTAAGGGTTTAGTGTAGTTTTACGGTTCAGATTTGCCTGGCCCTCACTTGCTTTTCTTCAGGCGTACCCGGCAGTCGCAGTAGGCCTGGATGCAAAAGGGTTCAGGGTGGGGCCGTGCGGGTCATCGTCGCACAGATGCTGCAAACCGATACTCTCAGTCCATCTTTCCGCAGAGGTTCTTCTAGGGCCTAACATAGGGGCCTAAATAGTTACCAACACTTTTTTGGGGGATTCCTTCTTGTAATTATAGTATAATAGTTACCAACACTATTTTGGGGGATTCCTTATTGTGATTATAGTATATTAAGGCCCCTATATTAGGGTTTGCGACGTGCCTGGGCCGATGGGCGTTTCTCGATACATCCTCCACTCGTCTGGGGAGCGTCATCCCTAAGCTCACCCGACCTGCAACGAACAATATACTTAAAGGATCATGGGACTTAGTAAGTAGGGTTATAAGTAGGTTATAATAGGATAACCCCGCTTAGGGGACTTATAACCCCAGTTATAACCTACTTGCAAAGTCCCATGATCCTCTAAGTACACCAACACCTAAAGTTAAAGCCCTAAAAGCCTAAGCCCCTAACCCGAAAGCGGCCCTCAACAGTTCTGAAAGCGTCTCAAGGCGCAGTCCTTCAAGAAGAACCTTACCACCGCCCATATAAACACCCGGAAAGCCCAGAAAGTGCCAGCCTGTCTAAACCTTCAATCCAAAACCCTAAGCCCTAAGCAAAAAAAGAACCGCTGAACCCCTGACCCCCACTAAACCCCTAACCCCTAAACCCTAAACAAACAAGTGCCCTGAACCCCTAACCCCCCCCCCGAAACCCCTAACACCGAAACCCAAAGCTGGAGAGCCAAATGGCCCAAGCGGGGATTTTTTGGCGGAAGATGGCAAGCCGAAGTCGCTCCCCGAAGAGAGACTTTGGCGTCTCCGTAGCTGAGGATGCTCCGATGGATGTTCAGGTTTCGGGTTTAGAGTTTAGGGTTTAAGGTTCAGGTTGTGGCTATAAGGTTTCGGGGTTAGGCTTTTCGTGTTGCGTGCAGGGCTTTCGGTTTAGTGTTTTCGGTTTGGGGCCAAGGTTTTCATGTTTCGCGTCTGTGTACGTTTTGGGTAGGTTGTTGGCTTTTGGGCAGGGGGCTCTGAGATTTCGGGCTGTGGAATCATGTGTGGAAGCAGTATCCATATGTGCAAGACGCGGAGTTTCCATGTCGACTTTCTGTGAGGCCTTTTCGGTGGGCGAGTGGTTTCTTCGTTTTGCTAGGGACGGGGCATGGAAGTGCTACGCCTTCGGAATCGCAGCCATCAGAATGGGGTTGTGTCACAAAGCTGTGTAAGGAAGCGTTGGCTGACATAAGTGAGATGAGATTCAGACCACCAGAGAGCAGTGGTCTTTTACACTTTGTGGCCAACGGAGGCTTATGTAGCTTGAGAAGGATGCCTGGTTGTCTGCTTGTCCTAATTTGTCACGCCGACACGGTCCCTTACACAGCTTCGAGGTTGATATGAGTCAGTTATCTCATCTCCTACCCCAAAACCGCTCCTAGGGCTCCAAAGGTGGGATGAAGATAGGTGGGGTAAGCCCTTGACATAAGGGACCCCCATGTATAAGGGCACCCGGATCCTAAACCCCAATGCCTAAATCCTGAACCCTTAACTTCGAACCCGAGACCTCGTCTGGCTAGTCCGCGTTGCGAGAGCGTAAACCCTAAACCCTAATACTAAACCCTGAGCCTGCCTTCATCACCACCCTAGAAGCCCAGAGAGCCCAATACCCCTTAATTAAGGAATATGGCTTAAATTATATAGGGCTTCATCTTCCGATTTAAGCTAGATTCCTTCATGAAGGGGTAGTGGGCTCTCTATAAGCCCTGTATGATTTAAGCCATACTCCTTAGTTAAGGGGTTATTGGGCTCTCTGGGAGCCCCGTGGCCTTAGAGAACGCCATCCCCAGGATGTGCAAGCGGCACATGCTCTGCGGGAACGCTATGCGGCCCCGAGGCCCATAAAAGGGGTACTTAAAGGATCATGGGACTTAGTAACAAGGGTAATAATTAGGGTAACTATACTTCTCACCCCAATTAAGGTACTTATAACCTTACTTAGTAAATCCCATGATCCTCCAAGTAGTAGCAATCCTGTGACATACGGGTGGTTATCAAAATCAGGGTCCCTGTGGGGGTCCCTATTATATAATACGGCACCTAATATTTAGGGTACCCAAAAAGGGAATATACCTAATACCTAGAGTCTCCATTGTAGTTCCTTTTTTTGGTTTTACCAAATATAGAATTAGGGTCCTATAAGGTAGCCCCACAAAGGAACTACAATGGAGACTGTAGGTATAAGTATCATATTGTGCAATTGTGCTATACTATGTAATATGGTATGTTAGTTGATATAATCGAAGTCTAGAGTATAGCATTGTAACATAAGCTTACACTCCCAGCTGTACTAAACCTACATCATGCTAAAACTACAACATAGTACAAAGTAGTGTACCGTTATCAGTAAGAAGGCGAATGAGAAGCATAGTGCACCTGCGTCCTCAAACAGGCAGTCCAAGTTCCGAGTCTCGGCCATTCTGCGGTTTGTGCGTACGGACGGCTCCTGCGACATCTTCGAGGCACAAAGAAAACGGTGGGTTTCGCAGTTGAGTGTTCAGGGTGTCAGGGTTAGGGCTAAACCAAGGCTGGATTCACACAAGCCTGTGCAAAAGGCTAGTTTAGGATATAGGATGTAGACAACACGATTTGGAGTCGTGGGCTCAGGGTGCAGTTTTTGCGGGCTTAGCGGCGAGGGGCTGTGGAGGAGTCGAGGAGGGCACTTGAGCTGCAACCAGGGTGTGATAGTCAAGACGTAGGTGCATGATACTCTCAGAGGCTTGCCACAAAAACCATCAGGATGTGCCGGCAACAGGCACCCATTGCAGTATGTGGAAACGTCAGTCCTGTAACATCCCTACATCGTGAAATCACTATCGCAGGAGCACCCTGTCCAACCTGGCAACCACTTTGGTTGTATCTGTCAGCCCAAGGACGCTTTATTTGGCTTAGGACTTGGCCGTACAGAACCCGTCTAGTTCCGTATAAAATCTTATAATATATAGAACCTTATAAAACCCTCATGAACTCTAAAGGACCACAAACCCTCTCAGAGCTCTTACGGCACCCTTATAAAGCCTCAATGCAAAGCAACCTTTATACAACTCTTATAGAACTTTTTTGGCAGCCTTACAGAACCCGCACAACGAAGCAAAACTCTCACAAAGCCATAGCACCCAGATAGAACTTAGGTACGGCCCCTTACAGTAAGAGTCTATAGTAGGGCTGCTTTTAAGGTCCTAATATATCTATATTATGAATACTATTCAACTATTACTGAGTGGGGGCCGTACCCAACATGGCTCCTTGTTGGGTACCCTAAATAATAGGTGCCGTACTATAATAGGGACCCCAAAAAGGGGACCCTAATTTTGACAACCACCCACATAGAACTCACAAAAGCAAGCCGAACAGCTTGACTGAGCAGGCTCGAAGCTTCGAATTCAATGCTTCAAAAGGGTAAAAGGAGGAACCCTTAATGAGGACCCCCTAGGGCCCTAGGTATGGAACCTTTATGTAGCCATTATATACCCATTATATAGCCTATTATAGGTAGGGGTCCCCATTATACAAGGATCCCTCCTTTTCCACTTTGAATGCTCTTTTTTCTGCCTGCCTCGTGGTAATGCTGCTATCGATCGGAGCCAAACATCTTCGTTAGCGTGCGAACAGCAAGTGTCATTGCTATTTGTACGATGAAAGTGCTGGAAGAAGTAGCAGCCGTCGCCGAAATATCGGTCCAGCAGAAATGGAAGTGTGTTCGCAATATTTAACTCCAGGTCTGGTTCTGACGTAGGTATCTATCTGTCCAAGTCTCTACCCCCCCATCTACATCTTGATTTGCATCTGCATGTGCATCTATGTCCGGGTTTAAATCCAGGTCGATACCTATACCTGTACAGATCTAGATCTTGATCCAGCTTATCTTACTCAAACTTCAAAACCAGTGCCCCTGACCCGCCCGCGAAACAACAGCCCTGGCATAGGCCGTAAATGCCGAGCCGCACGATGCGAATATTCGTGGAGCCATCTGTGCGGAAAGGGTGGCCCTCTGCCAGTTCCAGAAGGAGTTTCAGCTGTCCTGTACTGGTACTGCTGGGGTTCCCATAAGGATTCCAGAAGTGCTATACACGAGTTTTATGTGCAGGGTTTTAGGGTTGAGGGTTCAGGTGGGCATGTATAAGTCTGCGCAAAAAAAGGCTTCAGGGCTCCGGCCTTTAGACGGTTTCGGATTTAGTGGCTCGAGCTTCTGGCATCTGCCGCTGCTTGTTTTGCTGGCTGTTGGACTCAGAGGTTTTTGTGTTGGGAGGAGCTGCTTTCGGCTCTCAATAGCGTTCTTGGTCTGACTTCTGGTGCCAACAACCCTGTGCGATTGAGTGAAGGTCGGGTTTGTTGGGGCTTTCGGGGTCTCTCGGGGCTTTCAAGAGGCCCCATAGTAGTTCCTTTCTGGGATTACTTTATAGGAATCTAAACATGAACCCCAAATTTTTTCAGCCCGGACTGTCAGCTGACCTGGGCAGGAAGAGCTTCAAAAAGGCAGCCGCGTGGTCCGGGTGGTCTGCGCCACGGACTGCCGGCAAATTGCGGTCACGGGCGCAAGAGTTGACGGGAGGGTTCGTGTGGGGTTGAGGGAGCACTAGACTCTCAACCCCCGGATCCAATGCCACGCCTAAAATCTAAGGCCCTAAAGCCTATGTAAGCCACATGCCTCGCTTGGATTGTCCGAGTGCGAGCGCCGAAAACCTAAACCTTTGACTTAAACCCCTGAACCTTAGGGTTCCTTTTGAAAGGGATCTATAGAGGGTTCTATAAAGGGATCTATAAGAGGGTTTAGGGTTCCTT